CCTCAAAACCTCTAAATCTCAGGATCCTAGAATCTCCGAATTTCAGAATCTCAGAATCTCAGAATCTTAGAATCTTAGAATCTTAGAATCTTAGAATCTTAGAATTTCAAAATCTCGGGATTTCAGAACCTCAGAATCTCAGAATCTCAGAATCTCAGAATCTCAGAATCTCAGAATCTTAGAATCTTAGAATCTCAAAATCTCGGGATTTCAGAAACTCTAATCTCAGAACCTCAGAATCTCAGAATCTCAGAATCTCAGAATCTCAGAATCTCAGAATCTCAGAATCTCAGAATCTTAGAATCTTAGAATCTTAGAATCTTAGAATCTTAGAATCTCAAAATCTCGGGATTTCAGAAACTCTAAACTCAGAATCTCAGAATCTCAGAATCTCAGAATCTCAGAATCTCAGAATCTCAGAATCTCAGAATCTCAGAATCTTAGAATCTTAGAATCTTAGAATCTTAGAATCTCAAAATCTCGGGATTTCAGAAACTCTAAACTCAGAATCTCAGAATCTCAGAATCTTAGAATCTTAGAATCTCAGAATCTCAAAATCTCGGGATTTCAGAAACTCTAAAGTCAGAATATCCGAATCTCAGAATTTCAGAATTTCAGAACCTCAAAACCTCTAAATCTCAGGATCCTAGAATCTCCGAATTTCAGAATCTCAGGATACATGGACTAGAAGTGAACGGTTTGGGATTCATTGTCAAACTTTGATTGTACTTTGTACTTGTGAATAGTAAACAATGTTATTTTATTATATATTAAATTTTTTATTATTTCAAAATTATAACAAACATACAAACTTGAAGGCATTACAAATTACAGAATAGTCAAAACAAGAATTCCCGGATTCAACTGATCAGGAGAAATAGAAACATAATTAGAATCAGAATATTTTGTTGTCGAGTCCGCGTGGCTATCCACCGACTCAACAACTTTAAGATATTCTGAGGACCTCTAGGCCCAGCCCACTGTGCTTACTCCTCAGAAATCTTCCTATTNTTCCCACTTTATTCTCTTTATTCTCCTTTGCTTATTAGTCTTTTATTGCCTTCTCATATTCAAATTCCCGCCTTTTTCCTCTCCCTTCGTGCAAGCGCGCCCTATCGTTGAGGTCTCGCCACGAAGGGGTTAAAGGCGCACACACACTCGAAACGGGTTTACTGGCCTACTTTCTATTCAGATTAATTGTGTTTTTACGTAGTTTTTGCTGCGTTTTGCTCAGATTAATCATAGTATAGCAGTCAGTGCTGTTCCGTGACGTTTACCTTCAGTTTGCAAGTCCGTCAACCTCATTACTCATCATTTTTCCTACTATTCCAATACTGTAAGCCCTACCGCGATCCCCGATCGCTTTACCGGCCTTATTGGACTATAGAAAACCGCTAATGGTGTGAGTTGATATAGATTTCCTTCTGAATAGACTAACGGCCAGTTCTGTGACCTGTTTCATGAGTGTTTTCCTAACAGTGTCATCGTGACCACTGGGAAGCGTGTGCAGCTTGGGAACTTTGTCTATGAGATGCGATAAGCTTGTCACCGGTAGGAGAAGGGTTTTTGTTGCCCAAGGCTTTTTGCCCCTTCAACTATTGAGTGATCAGTGATGTCCTTCTCGTCCGTCTCCAAGCCAGCCCGACTCCGAGGAAACCTCTTATTGACGATATATTCTCTTTATTAAATATATTCCGCTCAATAAATGGGTCACTGATACTACTGTTGTTACTATTATTTCCACACCAAGCCCGCTCGTCGTCCCACTCCTCGCTACAGACAGAATTAGTTCCCCTGTTACCGATGCACTTTCCCCTAATTTGCCAGACATCACGCACAAAGAGGTAGCTTGTTTCTCTGGAGCCGTCACGGGGAATCCAACACTCCCCAAGGTGACCCCTCTACATATTTATCAATTAAAAGAAGTTTAATAGCCGGGAAATTCCACTTGGAATGGTTTCCTCGCCCGGTCTCAAACCATCCTCTCTTCACTTGCTCCTTCCTCATCTGCACAACGATTTCCTCGACGTAGATCTCGGCTCCATTGGTCGTCATTCCATGGAGATCATAATAATGATCTCCTCTTGGCCTCCAGCTCAACGTCCATTTCCTCCTGAGAACCAACTAGGTGATGCTTTCTGATGTTCTAAAAGTTTTCAGTTAGATTAATGTAGTTCAAAATCTTTTAGAAACTTACATGAAGCGACTGCACCTTCTTGCTATGCGCATCTTTCTTCTCTTCAAAACCCATGGCCTTCCGGTAATCCTGCCCATCCTCCGGGTGCAAAAAGCGGCATCGAATTCCCAGGGAGCAGCTTCCAATGCTCCGACAGACCATGGTTTTGAGTCTGGGATCCTTTGCAGGTGAGACGCGGCTTCGAAGCTCCTTGGGTCCATGTGCAAATTGGCATTTGGATCGTTTTGGACACTTCCTTCCTGATGAGTAATGGGTGCACAGGCGGGTCTTGTAGCCCGCTGGCTTCTCGTTCTCCTGGTCTTTGGTACCTTCATCTTTAGATTCCAAGGCTTACACAGGTGATTGCTTTTCAGACTGGCCGATAGATCCATGATAAAGTTCCTCGAGTTGTTTTCCATTTTCCTTGGCTTGGTAGTTCTACTGGCTGTTGCTCCACTTGACACAGAATCGGCTCCAAATAACACTGTCCTTGGTATTGGGTTGAAAAGTCCACTTGTCTAGGCTCCACCTGGTAATGGATAAGCTCCATAAAAGAGTCTGCACAACTGGATAAAAATATCTAGTCTGCGGAGTAGACTGTTGGCCAGGAGGACTCGGAGGTAAGCCTGAAAAGATGAAAAAAATGAACTTTACAGAATTTGAAAAATTAAAGCTTTAAACTCGACACTGAAAAATGTGAAGCTTAAAATCAAATCCCCCATTATAGCTTATCTCAAACCGAGCCTACAAACTATAAGCTTAAAATTAAAAGAATTCCAATTGGAACTAGAAAACTTGAGCTCAAAACTTGGAGCTCAAATCGGAAAGCTTAGGAATTGATGCTTTGAAAACTGCTAACTTAAATGAAGTTTTTAATTTTGAAGCTTGTAAAGTTTGAAGTTTAAAAGTATGACTTCTAATCTGAAAGCTCACAATTTGAGGCTTGAATGCAAATACTCTAATTTCTAAGCTCTAATTTCGAAGTTAAAAAATATAAGCCCAAAAACAAAGCACTTACTGTGGCTGACCATCCATGGCGTCGTACAGGAAACTGGAGTTGACTGAAGCAAACATAACTTTTGATGAACCTGGAAATAAATAAACCGAAAATAATGAAATATTTGAAACGCCGGAAGCGCGGCAAATAGGCTTGTACTTAAAAATACGCTTAAAACCTTTAATAGAAGAGGCACCCCTAACTTTCAGCCAGTTCATCTCGGTTCCCGTAATAAAGATTAAAAAACAGTCAACTGATAAATTGCTTATCACAATGTCACAAACATTTTATCAGTTGACACATTTTTGATATCTTCCACAAGAACCAAGACAATTGAACTCAAAATTGAGGATTTACGGCATTCAAGAAACAAGACCAAAACAAAACGAATGACTTCCGATTCTAATATCTCGATGGGCGGATCTAAAAGGTAAAGACAGTTCTTTTCTGTTAATTACAGTACCACCTGGTAATTTTGTTCGGTCCCGTGAGAACATGGGGTCTTTCCTGGGCCACCCTTCCGAGGTTTTGGTGAGGTGAAGACAGTTTTTTGTTAATTACAGCACCTGCCGGTTTTGTATGGTCCTAGAAAACCTTGTGGTCCTTTTTGAACCATCCTGGATCATGGGAAAATTCATTGAGCCTGAAAACAAAAAAAACTGGAAATCTTGTATATTCGCTCTATTGGGAATTTTTTGATGAGAATTGTGGATTCGTTTTTAGAAATTTTATAAAGGAATGAATGAATTTCCACAATAGCCAGACGTATAAAAGTGTTAGAAACAGGGATGGTGCGAAAAAAATAACTTTTTGAAAGTTGAGTTTTCTAGGCCACCTCGTTAAAATGACTTAGAAAACGTATCAGGTGAATGTTATAACATTTTTAGGCCATAGAATTAGGTGCCCTAAAGAACTCAACATGCAATAGTAGGCCTTGTTAAAATGGCCTAGAAATGACTTGATATTTAGAGTATTCCATGGCCACTCATGATTTTTTCTGATTTCTTTTCTTTTTTATTTATGATGAGCCATATGAGCTTCTTAATAAAAATCACAGAAAGGCTCATGAGCCTTGATGAGCTTTTTGATAAAACAAAAAAAGAGTCGCGTGATTTGATTTTCTGGGGAATAGCAACATCCAGGTCTGGATTAAAGAGAGACGAGCGGAGCACTGGAATTGGGAAAAAAAGACATCAAACTATACTTTTTTCGAAAACTAACAGATTTTATCATCTTGGTAGATAGAAGAAGAAGCGGCGTTTTTCTTGGCCTCCCCAGTCGATCCTGGTATTCTGGAGACATTGGGTCCACTGGCTCCAGAACTGCGAAGGTCTTGAAAAACGCCGTTCTATCCAACCGGTAAGCATGAAGTTCCTTCTGGGTTCGGAACTTGAGTGGTCCGAAACTGCAAGCTTTCGGAGAAGCGGCAACCTGAGGGGCATGAAGAGGAAAAGCTGAAAGGGATAAAATCGTTCTCTATGTTGTCTAAACATCTATCAGTGAATTCCTTCGCCCGGCTGGTGACTAAAAGGCGGACCTTCTAGACTGACCTGTAGATTTGATGCGCCTCCAAACATCGCATCCCAGCCAAGCGCCAGTGACTCTTCTTTTTTTTATCTGAAAACGAAACATATTGAAATGTCATCAACTAGATTGCTAATTGTAAATTAAGAAACTTACTAGGAGCAAAGTATGGCTTAAATGCTGATGGCCAATCTCCTTGAATTTTAACAATCGTGCTTGCCATTCCCTGAGTCCTCCCGACCGGCAAAAACCCGTAGATGATGTTGCTCGGAGCAGCTACCATGGCGAAGAAGGATTAGGTGGGTGTACCTCCTATAAAAATTTGAAACCTTTACTGTAAAATTTTTGTTTCAAACATAATGCAATTTTTTAATTTGAATCATTTACATATTTTTGTGCAAACTGAGGGAAAGTTGGTTGTTTCAATTAGCAAAGAGCTTCGAAAAACTTACTACGAGCACAGTATGGCATAAATGCCGATGCCTCGTGTCGTTCAATTACAACGATCGTGCTCGCCATCCCCTGCGGAGTCCTTCCAATCGGTGGGACGCCGTAAACGGGAATCGGACGGTAGATGGTGTGGTTGGGAATGTTCTCCATGACGGTGAAGTATTCGAAGATTCGGATGGTGGACCTGGAAATACCAAATAAAGAGAGAGAGAGAGAGAGAGAGAGAGAGAGAGAGAGAGAGAGAGAGGGAGAGGGAGAGAGGGAGAGAGAGAGAGAGAGAGAGCTGGTGAATCACAGCTCTATGCGAACAGATGGACCACCCAAGCAAAAGGGAGGGGGGGGGGGCGCTCGCACCTAGAATCCGTGAAACTGTAGACTGTTGGAGAGTACAGACTTGGTAGTGCAGGGCGACAAGAAACGAAATTTGGAACAACGTGAGAGGGAGGACAGATGTTAGGTATTGAAAAGGCGTTATTTGGAGGAACGATCAGAAAGAAGAGTCTATTTGCAAATATAGCTGAAAAAACAATCTGAAATGAAGCTTCGAAATCAGTTGTTGGTCCAATGGAAACCAGGAATCAGACAGTTAAGATACTAGAAAACTATATAGGTTTTGAATTCATTAAAAGTTATTATATAACCCAATGTATCAAACAGGAGAGAATCCAGATAAAAGTTTAATTTAAATTTAGAAAAAGGCAGAAGAGGAACATCGGAAAGTAGGCAGATATGAAGAATAAGGTAACCGAACACAAGTGAATCGAAAAACGAAGGCAGTACATTATTTGGGACCGGATCCAAAGGATACAAACTAACTATAAGGAGACAGTATGTAGAAGGCTAGGATTACGGTAGAGGGAAAGTGACGTGTAGAAGGAATCAAAGAGGGGGAGAGGGAATCAAAGAAAAAATGCAATATCTAGGGCGATGGGATTACAGTAGTGGTGGCATGTAGAAGAAGATAGACCAATGGAAACGTGGGAACTGAAGAGCACCGCAGAAAATCTGAAAACTTTTATGCGTTACAGAAAAAAAAACACTAGGCCTACCTCAGGATCCAGAAGTCGATGGACCATCTTCATCGTCCTCCTTCTTCTCCTTCTTCTCCTCCTCATTTTCGACTTTCTCCAGGACCTTCAATCCTGAAAATTTCAACACATTTTTTTAATTCGAAGATCTAATCTCACCCAACTCCTTTTTTGCTAACTCCAGACGATCCTCCTTGGTCATCTTCGCCCAGGAAGCTATCCCTTTTTTTATTCGCCATTCATCTTTCATCTTGTCCACGAGCATCAAATTCTCCTTCTTTTTCTCCTTCCTCCGCTCCTCAATTTCGGCAGCTTCTACCGCTTCAGTTTGACGGCGATCCGCGTCCTGTTGTTCCTCCTCTTCCTTCAATTCCTTTTCACCTCTCAACCATTCGGCTTCCCAATCCTCTCCTTCCTTACGGTGTTCCCTACTTTCTAAAATAGAGCTTTTTAATTTTCCAGTAAAAAAAACTTGAATCCTTACTTTTCTGGTGCTCCATTTCAACTAGCATCTGGCGGCGCCGCTGTTGTTCGGCTGAAAAAATTGAATTTGAATGAAGTTTAAGTTTTGATTACTGTACTTGGTGGAGTATATGGGAAGTACTGGGATGAACGGGGTGGCTGACGAGCTGCTCGTGGAGGGGAAGCTGGAGTTGGAGCAGCTGGAGCGTGGACGGAGACTTGGGCGGAAACAGAGCTTGGGCGAAGACGAGCTGAAGCTTGGACGGTGACTGGCAGGTCCTGAAGTTGCTCCTCAAGAGAAGGTGCACTTGAAGCTCCAGTTGAAGAAGACGGATGGGGAAGGGAAGCTTCCGAAGCAGCTCCGATGGTCCCAAAACCATACACAGAATTTGGAACTGAAGTTCCAGATCCTGGAGTCGAATTTTGGCTGCTTGGAGTTGGAATCCAGCCTGGCGTCGACGGAGCTGGCATCCAGTGAGGTGTCGCCGGAGATTGAAGGTGTCCCGGAGCTGGATGGAAGCCGAAGGATGGTCCATTCCACATCTGACCCCCAAAGGGTGTAAATGGGGTCATGGGGATCATCGGCATCGAAAGATTTCTTCCATGGGCCATCGACGGTAGCGGCTGTCCATTTGGTCCCACTACCACGGGAACTGCACACCATTTGGACCCGGCCAAAGAAATGCCTGAGTCGTTCTGCTTGGGGGCACAAAGGGCTGCACGTTGTCTAAAATATCAAAATACTCAGGATTCTGGAAAGAACTGAAATACTTACTGATTCCTGACGACGGCTGAACTGTGAGGAATTCGTTCGAAAACTCCACATGTCTTCCTGAAAATTGGTTTTTGGGATTTTCGAGATTTTTGAGAACGTTGTAAATCTCAAAATTTCAGATTTCTAAAAACTAGCCTCTTCCGTTCCCTCTCATTGGAGCACCTTGACCGGGAGCCGGGGTCTTTCTCACATACTTTCTTGGCATGATTCGTAGTTTACTGAAAATAGAGAGTTGAATCTGGAAAGTAGAAAAAAAACAAGAATAAAGATATTGGACATGGCTATCGAAAACCAGATTAAAGAGAAAAATTGAAAAAAAACCAGTATGATAAAATTGGAATGGTTTATTAAAATAAACAGAATTTGAACAGAAATGTCAATGCACATGTTGTAGAAGGGCACTTTGAAGCGATGCGCAAGAGCGGGCCAAGCTGAAAAATAAATATACTTTAGAATATTTAGACCTTTCAGAATCCTGAGATTTCAGATTTGAATTTTGGAATTTTAGATAGACCAAAAAGAATTTACCTCATTCAGAACAATCACCAAAACATCCGACTTCATTTGCGACGATGAACCTCTCCATACTCCCGATGTTGGCGTAGAATTTGATCTTCCAGACGTTGGTGTTGATCTTCCCGACGGTGACGACAAAAGCCTAGATGGTCCAAAAAAACTGAACAGATTCAAAACAAACAAAGTATCCGAATTTATTTGAGACCACGATGAACCTCCAGATCCTTAGGATGTTAAAGTTGGTGATCTCCACATTGGCTTAGAAGCTGAAAACAGGTTTTTGACAATCCAGATACTCATAAAAAGGATTCACCAGATTCTAAACGATCATCAAGGCATCAGCTTGTTGAAATGAACAATAAACCTACAGTTCCTCCCGACGTTGTCGTCGAAATCCTAAATAGACGAAAAAAAGACTCACCAGATTCAAAACAACCAAAGTATCAAACTTCTGAGATGGCGATGAGCCTCCAGATGATCCCGAACTTGACGTTGATCTTCCCTGCATTGGCATAGAAGCTCCCAGCTTTTGCGTAGAAGCTCTGACGAACTCTAGACAGGCCAAAAAAACTCACCGATGTTGACGTTTATCCTCCTGTCGTTGGCGTAGAAGCTTCAGACGCTGGCGTTGATGCTCCTGAAATTAGTTTTGATCTTCCCGACGTTGGCGTAAAAGCTCCCAACGAAATCCTAGATGTACCAAAAAAAACTCACCACATTCAGAACAATCACCTGATCATCCTACTTCGTGGAAACGACGATGAATCTCCGGATCTCCAGAAGCGTAGAACCTGAAAAAACTAGATTAGCCAAACTGAAAATCTTCATATTCACCTACCAAAACCATTGGCTTGGTCACTTACAGTATCTCACTGAACCTGACAATCTAAAAATACTGAAATGGCAATTAAAGATATCAGATGGGTCATGAAACCCGTGGAGAAGAGACAATGAAAAACTATGGATGAGAGAAGAGATCATTTATGTAACAAAATGGATAACAACTAGATTATTATGCAATAGAAATTGAACAACATTCGACTATGGAGACTTTTTGGAGAACTTTTCCAAGATGGACATGATCTGGGCCTGAAAAATTGAAACAAGTGAACTAGCCAACCCTATAATTAGGTGCCATAAAAATGAACCCACCTCCTTGAACCTTTTCTTCGCCGGCTCTCCCAGCTCCTTCTGCTCCTTCAACGTCTTCACCGTGATCCATCCTTTTGCGAGTTGCTCCTCATGCTCCTTCTTTACCAACCATCTGAACTGCTTGAACTCTTCCTCCCCAAATGGAGTGTCGTCTGGAAAAAATACAATAAAACGTTTTAAAGTAATGACACACCTATATTCATCCTCCTCAAATATTGATTCCGAAGAGCTGTCCAAGTGGAGACCCTAGACACCACCTGGGGTAGCTTCTGACTTCCACTAGGGTTTAGCAACCCACCTGGGACCTTCCAGGATCCGTTGGGAAGCTTCCAGCCTGAAAGTTTATGTGGTTTAGGGTAAAACAAACAAGTACAACTTACAGAACATCCAGTTTCTATAGATTTCCGGCCAGGATTCCAGGTGGAGAACTTCTTTGAGCATGAATTCGTCTCTTGAGGCTTGACGAGCTTGTGCCTCATCCTCATGGAGTTCGTCGGCATCGAAGGATCCTTCATGGCCCGGTCCTCCAGCCTTTGAAGCCTCCTTCAAGCTCAACTGCATCAGGAATACTTCTGGAAAACCATTTTCAAACTTTTTTTCAAAGACTTTCAAAGACTTACCGTATGCTTGTCTCTGCCATTCCGTCTGGAACGCACCTTCTGGGACATCGTAGCTCACTACTTTGAGCCCATCTGGGACCACAATAAACCTACTCTCATTGGATTTACTGCTCGCGAAAAAGGTCTTCGCATAGAGCAAGGGGTAATTGCCTGGAATAAGTTTTTTTTTTGCTAAACTGGAATGATTTGAATTTAAAGTTACCGTATTCTGGAGACGAGACGACGCGACGAGCTGGAGATGGCGTGGCGATGTAGCGGATGGAGGTGTCCGGGGTAGTTGCAGGAGAGGAGTGGAGAGACGTAGAGCAGGTGGAAGAAGCTGGTGATCCTGGAAAATGTGAATTTGAGATTAGTTTGGAGCTTTACGCTTACCATTTGCAATCCTGAGTCCCAGATTCGATAGTCCCATCAGTGAGAGGCCATCATCAAACGACAATGGAGACATCGGACTGGAGCTAACGATGACTTCTGTTTCCGGCTTGAGAAGATTCTTGATCAATAAGGGAGAGCCTGAAAATTCGATTAACTTTCTTGTTTGGCAAAACATCGACGTTAATGCAATATACCGTATTCCCTCTAATAGAAGCCCATGCAAACCGTCAACTTTAAGCTCAATTATCTCGGCTCCTTTAAGACATTTCAAAAACTGTCAACTGATGAAATGTAGGTTATTTTATGATAATTAATTCATCAATTGACAACTTTTTCATATCTTTTACGGGAATTGAGATAATTGAGATCAAAGTTGAATGTTTGGATTGGCTTCTATAAGGTTCTGACTGGCAAGAACAACAGGTCCGAACCCCTAGATTTTTTTGAAACTAGCTATTTTTGGGCACAAATGACCAGCCTTTCAAAAATTTCAAAAGATTTTTCAAACCCTCACGATTCGATGCGTTTCCAGAAGATTCCTTGATTTGAATCGACGATATCATAGTGCTTGGAGATAAAACCTGAAATTTTAAAAAAATTCATAACGAGAGGTTGAGAGAGGATTAGACAACAAAAATAACAAAAATCAATCAATATCCCTCTTCGGTGGCCACCACTTACTACCAAAAACACAACATACACGGGCGCCTGTCCCAGCAGCAAAAATTCCCACCATTAGAATATCTGTGACATTTGCGCTAGAGAGTACGTGGAACAGAGAGACGCAGACAGAGCGTTTCATACAGACGAGGCAAGGGAGAAGAGGAGGCGAGAGGGATGTGTGTGTGTGTGTGTGTGGAACTATTTTTTCGTGTATGTCTCACGATTTTGCGTGGATTATTGGTAAGTGCTTATGAATTTGCTGGCTTGAGACTGGGAACTAGGTAAGTCAGCTACGCGGTTAGCCAAGGAAGTCTCTAACCTACAGTACGGGTCAACAAGATTGATTTTCAGCATTTTCAAAATCCTAAAGCTTGCCTATCAAGTGTCCCATCACTTTGAAATTTTTTGAAAACTTTGCATTCACAGAATTTTTGAAAAGTACTTGATTCCTGGTCTCTGAAAGACACCTGTTTTTTCAAGCTTTCAGTACAAAAATAGGTCGAATAAGGTGTCTTTCAGAAATCTGAGAATAGCTTAAAAACTAGGAACTTTGAAGAAATTCTGTAAATGCAAATTTATCAATCTAGGTTTGTTTTACATCCTTTAAAGTTTTTAAAGTGAGCGGAATCTTGACCGCCGAGCTCTAGACTCCTGAAAATGGTCAAAACGACTGAAAATCAATTGAAAAATAGATTTCTTCATATCTTACTGACCGGTACTGTATGTGGATGGTTTTAGGTATGAAATACTTTTAAACTGGTTGTTATTTTCATGCTTCCTGTGAGTTCTTAATTCGAACTACGCCTACTAGCCTAACAGTTACTAGCCTGAATTAGCCTAGCCTAAACTAGCCTAGCCTAGCCTAGCTCGGTATAAACTATTCTAGCATAGCCTAGATGTCGTTAAAAAAAATTAGACATGTTTTCGACTATGGTGCTCTATCCTAATCTTGAGCCGTTCTCAATGAAAAAGGGACCAAATAGGGATTTTTCTACCTAACTAGTCTTAACTAACTTGTTCTACATATGTAACTAACTAGACTTGACCAGAAGATGAGAACGCTACCTTAACAATATCGATACAAACCAAAAAGAGGATTACATAAAAATTGATTTGCATGACACTTGCTAGAGTTTATAGAGTTTTTCGTCTTAATTTGACCCATCTTGAGCCATGAGGAGGAGTGGAAAAATGGATTATTTACTTAAGGCGAGTACTGAACCAATCAAAGAAGATAAAATAAAAATTGATTTGCATGACACTTGCGTATCGTCAAAACATTACATAAACACACAATTGCCACCTGATGACTCGCACACCTTCTGTACGCGCGCAACGGACATCCCGCCATCAAACGAGTGTGTGTTATGATGAGATGGGATGAATAACCGTGTTGCGGTTAACGAGAGGTCAGTGTTATGGTCAAGATGAGAGGGGTGGCAGTGAAGGGCAGTGTCTGCTAGGTGTTATGAGCTCAATGTCCGTGAGCCAGGTTGGGAGTGTGAGGACCAGAGGGCCAGAGTGTCCAGGAAGAGGATTGTGTTACTGTGCCCAGACGTCTAGAGCGTTCTAACCAAGTCACAGTTTCTTTGACCCCAGGTATAAAACCTCATGGATCCGTCAGAGATCCGCCGAGTTCCTGTGGATCCACAAAGTTCTCTTCTGAATCCTCAGCGATTTCCTGGAAACGTTTCTAGATTTTTGGCTGTTTTTAAAACGGAGGAAGTGGAAGAAAAATGAAAAGATAGTAAGAATAGAACCGAAACTGTAAATATTGGAAATTTTATGATGGGAATGGAGGTGGGGGTGGAGGAGATGGGAATGGGAACGGGGAACTGAAAATAAGAAAGATGCATGTAGATTTTTGTTTGTTTGATTGTTTTCAAAGTTGAAAAATGTCGAAAATTTTGAAGTTTTGAAGTTTTGGGTCTGGGTAGCCGTTCTTATGCAATTACCGTATTTTCTCTAATATAAGCCCACCCTATACGCACATTTTGATCTCCATTATCTCTGGTCTTTCAAAAGATATCAAAAATTGTTAACTAACAAACTGTTTATCATAACTTCACCAATGTTTTATCAGTTGACAAAGTTTAAATATCTCTTACAGTAACCGTCATAATTGAGCTCAAAGTGCATGCATTGTTATTAGCGAAGTTACGGTAATTGTGCACTGTCTTCGAGAATATAACCCATCAATCATTATATGCGTTTCCGAGTACTTTGTAGATTTTTAGTAGCAATTAGCTTCCCTGCCCTTTCCTTATCCCCCTTTGTTGATTTCGGCACCCCTTCTTTGCGTACACCTGTTGGTCCTATGGGGAGAGAAGAATAATGGAGGGGGACACATGGTAGGGTGTTGGTCCGGTCCGTGTATGTGACCTGTGCAAAAACGATGGCAAAAATATAAGACTAAAAAACTTGACAGCAGCTATAAGATATGCTCTTAACCAAAGTACCTGCTCCCACAGGATACTGTGACTTTAAGCTTACCATGAAACCTGTATTAAAAGGGTTCCCAAACCCTCAACTTTGAGCCAATTTATCTCGACTCATATAAGAGACATAAAAAATGTGTCAACTGATAAAATATTTATCATATTATCACAAACAATTTATTAGTTGACAACTTTTTTCTATCTTTGACGATAACTAAGATACATCGGCTCAAAGTTAGAAGCATCTTCTATTACAAATTTTACGGTAACTTTTCCACTTTCGTACAACTAGCTCCTATGGATTTTTATTTTTTTATTATTTATTTTTCCAGATTTCAAATGTTGTTTTTTCCAGTGTAAAATGACCAGCCGCCAACTTCATGACATTGCCAAAATCCCGGAAGACGGCAAACAACCGTTGTATGCAAAATTTCTTCCAAGTGAGAGAGCCAATCTCTTAACTTTGAGCCAGTTTATCTTGGTTCCTGTGTAAGATATCAAAAAACGTTCAACTATAAAAATATTTATCACAAAATCACAAACATTTTATCAGTTGATCACTTTTTGATATCTTTTACAGGAACCGAGATAAATTAGCTAGAAGTTGACTCTAAACTCGCAGACTCCGAAATCGCAGAATCTCATTTTCAGTGAAAACAAATATCACTCTTGGTTTGATGGCTTTCCAGAAGAATATGGAGCATCGCAAGTGGAATCATAGATGTTTGAAGGGTCAAATCTCCGGCGAGTATAGGAGAGATGAAAAATTGAAAATTTTAATAGAAGTTTTCCAGACTACAAAGCAACACGGTGGTTTGAGAAGCTGCAGACGAAGTTGAAAGTTGTGGAAGATGAGCAATCATTGATTTTTAAAATAATTCTGATTGTTTCATTTTGGGTTATGAAATTGTGATTGTTAGTTTGTACACAAGAGAACAAGCCAAAGCCAAGGGGTACTGCATTAGAAGCTCACCCTTTACGTGTACTTAGAGCCCAATTATCTCGGCTCATATAAGAGATATCAAAAAGTTGTTGACTGATAAATTGTTTATCACAATAGCAGGAACATTTTATCAGTTGATAGCAATTTGATATCACTGATAAGAACCTAGATATTCGAGCTCCAAGCTCACCATAACAAATTCGGTACAGTAGACAAGCACACTGTCTTCAAGCTCAATTATCTCGGTTCCTTCAAAAGATATCGAAAATCTTTAAAATTGTTAAATTGTTCATCATAATATCAGCAAGATTTTATCTGTTGACAAATGTTTTCTAACTTTATTAAGAACTGAGATAATTCGACTATTCCACACCATCTTCCTTTTACTTCTCCCTTCTGCGTGGACTTGTGAGAGACTGTGAAAAAAGCGAGAGAGCGTTATGTGAAGGGAGAGCGCGAGAGAAACAGAGACTAAAAATTCGAGGCATTTATTGTGAAATATATGCTGAACTTCGCAAATTTACAGTCCCTGAACGATTCAAAAACATCGATCCGATCCATACAGTAACCCTTCTCCTCCCCATCTTTCTTTTTTCTCCGCCACCAATGCTGACGTCTTGTTGGCCAAGTGCCAAATGTTGTCTGCGTCTCTTCTTTCTACCAATCTCTCACTTTTGCGGAAAATGTCAATTGGATACAGAAAAAAAGAAGGACGATCCGTGTGGTCGACAAGTTGAAGGAAATTGAAACGATACCGTATTTTCTCTAACAGAAAGTATACGTTCACTTTGAGCTCAATTATCTCGGTTCTCATAAGATATATCAAAAACTTGTCAACTGAAAAATGTTGGTGATATTATGATAAACATTTTATTAGTTGACCGATTTTTGATATCTCTAATAGGGGCGAGATAATTGAGCTCAAAATGCACTACAGAGTTGGTTTCAATAAAAGCGTTTTTTTTTTCTCGATTTTCATGTGTTTTCGGTCGATTTAAAGGGAAAATAACAAAAAGCTTGCCGAAAAGCAGTGAATAACGAGAAAAAATGGTCAAAAAGTACAAATATTATTAGGGTACGGTAGCTTTCGTCGTGGGACCTTCTGTCACGATCACCGGCGTTTTCTCTGATTTTTTGTGCCAGAATAGTATTAAAAATTCCATGAAGAAATTTTAAAAAATCGACAATAAAATGCCAATTTCATCTATAAATTTCTAGTGGGAAATTCGAATTTCCCGGGTTCATTTTTTACCATTAATTTCCATCGATTTTCTCCGATTTTCCCCGAATTTCTCTGTTTTTTCCCACAAAATTCTCATTTTCCTGTTATATTTTCCCTATTTTCAGCAAAAAATGGGCATCAACGACATAGCCGACCGTCTCTTCAGATCCCAGGCGACTAAATACTCTGTCGTCCAACTGATGATTGAGGAGAAGCGACTCGGCACCTGGCGATTTTAAATATTTTTTTATAAATTCAATGAAATCGGTATCAAAATAAGCAAAATTTACAAGAAAAATCGGGCGAAATCACATGAAAAATCGATCAATATACATTTAGTCCACACTGTCTTCTTCCTCTGATTCTCGATTCGAAGTATTTCGAGCATTCCGATCTGCCACGTGTCGATGAATCGGATTCACATGACGAACAAGAGTCAATCCGTGGCCCATGTGGAAGTAGACCGGGTGTGCACCTGGAATTCGAGAATTTTCAAGGAGCCGCGACGCACACGGGACAAAAAACACACTATCATCGAAAAAACCGGCTCCTTGGCTATAATTATAGAATGCATTCAAATCTTGATAAGCCAACAAAGCGCGACGTCTTCTGGCAGCTTTTTGGATCGCCGGAAGCTCTTCGTCGACGCTGTCACTGGATGAGGAGCCGGGGGAGGACTCTGAAAATCGGATTTTCTTGGGAAAAAATCGATAAAACGTGTCAAAATTACCTCTCATCGGTTCACTCATCAGAGATTCTGGTTCGACGTCTTCTTTTCCGATTTCAGCACTTTCAGCGCTCTCCAACGCCACCTTCGCGCTCTCCGACGCCTTCTTACCCATCACAACCATTTGAAGACGTCTAAAAGCCTCAAATTGCTCGCTAAGGCTCTCTAGCTCATTTTCCATGGATTCCGGGAGAATTTCCGACGTCTTCAGAGGGAATTCTGCGCTTTTTGAGGTCAAATTGAAGTTGGGACCTCGACAAGAAGCTAGTGGAAGACGTGCGTTTTGCGATGACATCTGGGATTCTGGGACGAGAAGAAGGGCTTTGTAGGTGTCGATAGCCACGTGGATGTCGTCTTTTAGGCGCTGAAAAATCGATATTTTAACACAAAAAACCGTAAAAGAAGTTTTTAGGGCCTGAAAATTCGATTATTTTAAGAGAAAATCAAGCTTCTATGCCGAAAATGAAAAATCGATAATTCAAGGGAGAATTTGAAAAATGCGCACTTCAATCTCGTCGGGTAGCTTGAAATCCGCTTCCAACCGAATCAGAAGCGTCTCTTCTGAATCCCACGTCGCCTCTGAATCCCATTCTGAATAGTGCTCCGGAATCTCCTCCAGCGCTCGTCTTGACGCATTCTGGCACTGAATTATCAGGTTATGCGCCTTTAAAGCCGAAAATCGGCTTTGAAAATCTAAAAATTGGGATTGAAATCTCGTGGGAAGCTCTCCACTGTCCATACTCATCGCTGACGCCGTCAACTCGTTCCAATCCAGATTTTTCTGATTTTCCAGCGCGATTTTGGCGTTTTCAGCAGCCTTTTGGCACTGGAGAACGAGATTCTGAGATAGAAATCGACGAATTTGCTGGTGGAGAAGATTCTGCATCCGTTGAATGTACATGGGAGGTGCTGGAGGGTCTTCTGCAGAAATATCCACGGCTTTATCGGCGGGAATTTGAATTTTCAGCGCTTCGCTTTCTTCGTATAGCTGCTTTAGAATGATTTCATTGGCCACTCGATCGAGAAAAGAGACGTCAACGTCTTCTGGAGCGACGTCGTCTGATGGAAAGTCTTTATCTTCGTCGGTGACGTCTTCAGAATCCTCTTCTTCATCGCTGACAGCTTCTGAGTCCTCCTCGGCAACTGTGACGTCTTCTGAGCTCTCTTCTTCGTCGGCAACGTCTTCCAAGCCATCTTCGGCAGCTGTGACATTTTCAGAATCGTTGTGATCGGCTTCTGAAACGACGTCGCCTGCTTGAATGTCTTCTGATTCTTCCTCTTCATCGGTAACGTCTTCAGACCCATCTTCTTCATCGGTAACGTCTTCTGAGTTTCCCTCTGTCTTAATAACGGCTTCTGAATTCTTTTCAGCGTCGGTAACGCCTTCTGTGCTCTCTTCTTCATAAGCGACGTCTTCAGAATCCTCTTCTTTATCGCTAACAGCTTCTGAGTCCTCTTCTTCGACGCCAACGTCATCTGTCTCCTCTTTTTCATAAGCAACGTCTTCTGAATCCCTCTCTTTGTCTCCCACGTCTTCTGAGCCCTCTTTCGCCTCGCTAACGTCTTCAGAAGGCTCCTCGACAAGAACCGAAAGTTCTGGAGCACCAATTTTCGCCTCGGCGACGATCAAATTATCCAATGAGAGCTCTTTGGTGACGTCATCATCGGTACCTGACGTTTCAACGTCTCCACCGTCTTCCGCGGGAAATTCGAGACCTGAAAATTCAGTTTTTTCAAGCACAAAACCACCAATACTCACTTCCTGAATCCAATTCCCGATACAAACTCGCCATCCAGTCATCTGGAAGCTTGGGAAACGCGGTATTCGGTTTCTTTGGAGAAACATTGGATATTGTCATTTTTGGGCTGATATGTTTGGGTTTTTAGCTGTAATTTGCAGCAAAATTGCTTTAAAATCGTGAAAAACTGCGAAAATCCGGAAAAAATCACGAGAATCCGGCAAAAATGATGACAAATTCGAAGACAATGATGAAATGATTCAACTACCGTACTTTAAAGGCGCATTGGCTTGAATTTTGTATTGCGTCTCGAGTGGAAGAGCCTTTTCGGTGTAATTTTACGAAAATTCATTTTTGGCTTGAAATCACTGTTTTAAGCTTGAAAAACACCATTTTTCAGCGGAGTTTTGAAATTTTTTCAAAAAAAATTGTCGAAAAACAAATTCCGAATCCATGGAAACAAGAAATAAATCACCCGACAAAAAAAGAAGCCCTGAAAAACTGACTAATAGTTCAGCTAGCGAATCACTCAAGATTTAGTGATAAAAACTCGAGCTTTTGCATGCTTTTCGTTTTATAAAAAAACATTTTCGATTAGTTTTAGACCTGTTTTATTGAATTTTAGCCAAAAAATCGCAGAAAATAAGGGGAAAGCGTGTCGAATTTTGATAAAAACTGAAAGGCCGGGAAAAATCGATATCATTGGGGCTGGAGAGGGCATTTGTAGAAAAGTATATCCAAAAACGGGGAATTTTAACGGAAGTACATCACAGGGGAATCGAAAACGAACACAATTAAAGTAAAAAGCGAACTTGATTTTCAATTTCCAGCGTCCCTCTTCCTCTTACGGCTCTCTCTATCCCTCTGGTTTTTGCTCGGAGCTCGTCGAGCAAAGTTCTGAGCAATCAGCCATTCCCCACGTTTCTTGACGTTCATAAACATTTGGGACCAATTTTCTTTTTGATTCTGACTCAATGAATCCCAAAGCACCTCTGGAAAAAAAATAGATTTAATTTTTTTCAGATAAATCTAGAGAAATCTTACTGTATGGGTCAAACTTGAGCCCAGAATTTTGGGGGTTTTCGTTTTTGGGAAGCTCCATTTTACTTTTTTTCCATTCCATTTTGAAAAAGATGAAGGTGGATTGGGGAACGATTATGGTGGGGATGGGAAGATTGATGATTGGTTCTGAAAACTTGAAAAAAATTAATCTCAATTATCTCACTTCCTGTGAGAGCTATCAAAAAAATTTTACTGATAAAATATTTATCAGAATATCACCATTATTTTATCAGTTTACAAATTTTTGATATCTCTCATAGGAACGGAGATAACTGAGCTTAGAATGCAATTATTGTTTTGGAAAACAGCTAACTTTGAAGACCTACAGTAACCGCCGGAGCTCAAAAAAGGTTAAAAACTCACTCTTCAGTTCATCCGAGGGCAACTGTGAAGCCAAAATCATCACATAAGTGATTGGGTCGACTTCTGGAGCTGGCGGCGGCGGCAGTATCCCTTTGGCATGATTGGCCACGTCGACAACAAATTTCACTGTAAAAATGACACAGTAATCCTCTATCTTTCTGCGCCCCAGCTGGATTGATCATTCAATACAGTATCCCTAATCACTGATAGCAGTACTCGATTATAGTAACTCTATAAGTAGCAGACTACAGTAACCCATCTACAGTACCCCTACTCACACTGTTCCTCCTCGGTCATAGGCACAACTTTGCCGAACTGCGACTCCATAAAATCTCTGACCTCTTGAGGGAAAGTCATAACTACCGTATTCCAAAAAAAAATGGACCACAACAAAACAGGAACAAGAAGTTCCAAAAAACTGATTGCCAGCTTATCACAGACCTTCCACGAATAGGCGGAGCTGATCTCTCCATGACGTCTCGTGGTCCACTAACCAATGACTCATTTCGTCGAGGGAGACAATATGCATCGTTTTAATAGGGTTTGGGAGTGAATAATTGGAAGAAGACGAATGAATCAGAAGCTAGGGAGGAGGGGTACTGTAGTGGAGGCAAACAATGCAATTTTTGGGGGAAGATGGAAATGGAGGGGTTGAGAGGGAAACAATTTCTCTATGAAAAATATACGTTTATGTAGATTCTTAACTGATTTGTACGAAATAAGCAGAACCGCCCCCTTTTCCCTCACAAACAGGCATTGTCTGCGAGCCCACTGCATTTTCCTCCTTACGCACCTATGTTAACGGACTCTTAATTTTTCAGAACCCTCATCTTCTTCGCCTTCTTGATCATTGCCATGACCCGCCCGGTTGCTCGTATCCCTAAGAAAAGTTAGTTTTTTAATCTTTTAGCCAGTTTTTCATGGACCCATTTTCAGGCACCGTCACCATGCCTCTCCTGAAGACTCTTGTGAGAAAATTGGAGCGCAAGAATGCCCACCAAAGGAAGGTTATCAATTCTCATGCAGACAGTGAGTTCATTCATCGGTTTTTTGTCCAAAACTTTTTATTTTCAGAAATTATTTCCACAGAGCTCCTCAGGAGAGCTTGCATTGATAATCATCAATTGCTCCAAAATTCAAGAGAAAAAGTTATGGAATTAGAAGGGGAGAGAAAAGAGTGGGAGGAAGAAATGGCACAGGTGAACCAGGAGAATTTGAGATTAAGAGAAGAAAGTGAGTGTTGCTTGTTTCTGTAGCAAATAAATTATCATTCTTTTGCAGTTCAAAGAGTTTCTTCTACATCAGACGCTCTGAAAAGGAAGATGGACGTTCTGGAGCAGGAAAACTCCAGGTTGAGAATGAAAGGTGAGTTTCATGGAAAACCAAAATCATTTGAATCAGTTTTTTTAGTTGTAACAATCAAAGAAGAGGTCAAAGACGAAAAGAAAGAAAATGCCAGGCCAACCAGTAAGTATTCTAAAAATGTTTCAGCATTTACAAAGACTGATTTCAGAAGCCACGTCGTACCTCTACGAGGCTGACAACGGAGCTGTCTCTCAGGCAGTTAAAGTAGCGTCTGCTGCCCATTTCTTCTACCGAGGGCATTTTTCAAAAAGCGAGAACTGTAAGTTAGCCTAACTTTTTATTTAGTGTTTTGACCCAAAAAATTTTTAGACACTCGCTGGTCAGAGTTGGGGACAGCCGAGAGAGCCAAGTGGACCAAGAAGTGGGCAAAAATGAGGAAGGTCCAGAAAGAGCAAGCAGCACAAGGGTTCATAATTCTGCGGTCCCAAATCAAAGAGGAATTGGAAGATGAGCCAAAATGGGCAATGGTTCTTCGGAGAAGAAATTAATTACCGTAAAACCTCTAATAGAACGACACCCGGATCGTCCACTTTGAGCCTATATATCTCATTTTCTGTGAAAGATATCAAAAAGTGGCTAACTAGTAAAATGTTGCTGATATCCTGATAAACATTTTACTAGTTAACTACTTTTTGATATCTTTCAAAAGAAGTGAGATATATAGGCTCAAAGTGGACGATCCGGGTGTCGTTCTATTAGAGGTTTTACGGTATACTGGATTCATAGTTTCTAGCGAATTTAAAGCTGCACTTCGTTAATTTTTCCTAATTATAATTTCACTGTAGCTACATAGTTGTAAATGTTTTAATTTTTCATTCCATGTATTGTTATCTTCCTGTGATTCCCCAGATTCATCGAAACCTTGATCCTTGATTCAGATTTTTTTCCCAATTTTGTCATTCCACGGTTTTTTTTTATAATTTGGCTCTTTTGATCTCATGCCGCCAATTTGCCCCCTTTTTCCTAAAATTCAAATTTTAAGTGCCCTAATAAAGTTGTTTTTTCTTAATCTTGTATCACTGTGACTGCTCTTCGCACCTCAATAAAACTAATGCATTTTTAGTAACATATTACTGTAATTCAGCACTTGTTAATCTTTTTTGTTCTCCTGGGCTAATATGGGACTGTTATGAAGACGGTATCCCTATATACCTGAACACCGTAAACTGTCCTGGGTTCTTTTCCTGATTTCGGCTAGTCTGGCAGGTCTAAAAACCAATCAATAGGATCTTCAGATCAACTACACAATCTTTCTGGAGCCCATCTTTTTTGCTATGCCTCTCTCGACCGTGTCAATAAACACATAGAATCCACTACATATGTAGAGTCCCTTCCAAATGGCGTCATTATTTATTTTCAAATTTCTCCTACTAAATTCAAAACCTTCATCAATCAAAATTTCAGGAAACACCGGATTTTCTCAGATTTCTGCAAGTGCCGGAGTCCCACAATCTCTGAGAAAAAGAATCTGACAATTTGAAGACGTTGGAGAATAGCCACAAAAAATGGTCCTAGAAACATCTATTCTTTTCAAATGACGTCATTTTTCGTTTTCAAATTTTCCCTTCTGGGTGTCTAGACTGTCCCCCTGACATGTCTAACCTTCTGGTGCAGTTCACACAGAGTCTCCCCTGCGCAGAGATTCCTCAGCTGACAGAGAGGGCGGAGCCAATGACGTGGATCTTGCCCCCTTTCAGTGTTTGTTTGATGATGACTGACCATTCATTTTGCTATTATGCTTGTCTGAGAAAAAAAAAGGTTAGAGAGTATTTTTTGCAGTCTGAATACGGTAGCGATATCGAAGCGGAGAGCTTAAATAGCACACAAACGGTGAAGGCGCAGACACTTTTTCTCTGCGTCTCAACCTTTTTTCTCAGACAGGCATATTATTTTGAATAATATTTTTATTGTCGTTTTAAAAAAAATCTGGAACCATTTTGATTATTTTTCCAATTTCAGACCTCAACTAAATATGTCCCTGTGCTCTTCTTCAGTTCCTGTCTTCGGTTCTTCGCTTAACTTGAATCAAGGTAATTCAAACTCTGTCTACAGTAGTAACCCAAACAGTTTCAGCTATCGAAATCGCCCGACTCCGTCAACAATTGGCTAATGTGTCCCGACAAAATGAGGAACTGCAGGAAGGTAAACAAATAATTCTTAAATATTTAAACTTAGGACCGTAGAAGACTGTACTCCTACTATAGTACTACTGTAGAACTGTAGAAAAATTGCTCATTTTTTAGAAATCGTCAAGCTCTATTTTATTCAAAAAGTGCTCGAGACAAAGAAGAATTTTTATATTGGATGTAGTCAGACAGCGCATAGATTTCTGGCAGATGAGAGAAAGACAGTGGAGGAGTTAAGAGAGAGTGAGTTATTGGATTTTATGAATTTTTAGAATATATAGTTTGTTTCAAGAATGTGTTTGTGGAAAAATCGAGAAGAAAGTTGAAGAGGTCAAGAAGGTCAAAGAGGAAGTTTTCGAAGACGAAGAGTGTGTTCCTGATATGCAAAAATATGTTGCTGTGAAGACTGTAAAGAAGGAAATCCTTGATGGTATGTTTTCAGAATGCTTTCAGAATTTTCAGCATTTTTTTCAGATTTTCCCTTGGAATCTACTCATCGCCCAGCTGCTGGATTGAAGAGAAGGTTGAGCAATGTCATGGAGCCGTCGAAAAAATCGAGAGTCGTTGTCTAATTTTTGCCCCCTTTTGATTATACATTCTTGGTTGAATTTTATTTGGTTTCTTTAAAATTTTTCTGATTCTTTAGTTTGAATTTTCCTATTTTTCCATTTTCAATTATCCCATTTCTTCTCTGAATTCATTTCCTTTTCTTGATTTTTTATTTTCCTTATAATCCATGCCTCATAAATGTCTCTTGAAGAATCGTTTTCCTGAAAATCGAAAAAAAAATTAGAAAAAAAGAAGGACCAAATTGCTGGCCAGAAGACGTTGTGATCAGAAGTTGTCCAAAAACGGTTCTATAGCGGGCCATGGCCAGACCAAAACTTCTAGTTTGGCTGAAGGATCGGAAGATACATAGATAATTTTTGATTTTCTCTAAATCTATAAAATGATACTTTCTTTTCAGGTTTTGCCGATTCACACCATCTGTTGTATGACAACTTTTGGGGATTAACCTTATTAATCTCTTCTCATTATCTTTGTTTGTTTTGTAGTCATTGTTATAATGAGTGGGACTGCAACAGATGTCAATTCAGGTTAACGGTCACATGTTTCCATCAGATCATCTTCTGCAATTTTTCTGGATAGAATTTGAAATTTTCAAATCTACAGTTTGTTCTTCAAAGAACGGTTAAGATTTTGGTCTGATACTGAGCAGGTTGTGGTCGTAAGTTGCTTAAAAACGGCTGTACAGCGGACCATGATCACCAGGAGCCTCTTTCATATACGCCAACGGCCTTCTGTCGTGTCTGAGACCTCGTTTCTCAGTCGGTAGCGTTTTGGCATCTCGAATAGTTCATCCACAACTCGTGGATCTGGCGAAGCTATGCAAATCGCGGTCGCGACCAGCCGCGGCAGACTGGGGCTCAGGCCGCTTGTATGGTGGCGTGGGCCAATCAGTCTGTTCTTTTGCTCAGCAATACTGATGCCACTAGAGCCGCTAGCCATGATCAAAATGCCGCGGCCAACCATTGCGCAGTCTTGTCCGTGAGAAAAGGTCGTCTCTACGATCTCCCAGTTTTTCTCCACGTCTCCGTTATGATCTCCTCGCTCTTCTAACATAACACTCACCACTTTATTCCCCTCCTCTCAACCTTTCCCCACCACTATAATGTGCTAATCGAGCGCAAAGGATAACTGTGACACCACAATGTTTGCCAACTTGTCTTCTGTCTCTTTTGACATGCGCAGACATTTGTTAAATGGGTATTGATGGCACGTTGAGGAGGATTAGGATGGACCCGATTGCGTGGTTGCGAGATTTAGAGAGTTGCGTAAGGAATACAGTAGCCGGACCTAACTGACTAGTTGGCTCGATGAGCAGAATTGCGTAATTCATATTTTAGAAATGAACATATTACCCTACGCAACCGATAAAGTATGGACGTTAATGACGTAATCCCGACATAAATGGTTTTCCAAAAAAAGGTAGAGAAACAAAAAATTTAATTATATGGGGGATCGATGGCTTATAGATTTTTAAAAACAGGAATTGCAAAAACTTGAAAAAAATAGAAAAGACCCTGAATGAGAAACTTACCACATTTGCTAAAATTCGACCGTAGTTCGCCACACCTATACTTCCACTTTTACCTTAATTATCTCGCTTGCTATGAGAGATATTGAAAAACTGTCAACTGATTAAATTTTGATGACATTATGATAAACATTTTATCAGTTGACAATTTTTTGATAGCTCTTATTGGAAAGAAGATAATTGAGCTCAAATAGTACAAGAATAATGACGAGGTGTTATTGTTTCGGCCCACCAGACATGTGACCTCAGAATTGGTACTCCTAACAATATATGTTTTTCTCTGCATTCCAAATGTTGCGAAATTACTACGATGCATAGAAAAACAAACATTTTCAAATTTTCCCGCGCTTTCTCTCTGTTTGAACTTTTGAACACAAATCAGATGACGAAATTTTTCTGATAAGCTATCAGTGATAATATCTCCGAGCTTTCAGCAATTCTAGATACAGATCTTAAGGCTCAAATCATGATATTTCTGTTTTCCTTATCAAATCAAATCAGAATATCTAGATTTTTCCAAATTTTGATAAAAAATTTTTGAGATTGTCTTTTTGAGATTGACCCCATATTTTTCATACATTAATTTTTCAGAGCTTATTTTCAGATCCCAAGTTTCAGACTTTCATAGCAATCCAAAAATTATAATAATTATTTCAAATTGTTCCATTTTTTCCCAACCCCCTTACATTATCCCGTTATACCTCTAGTAATTCTCCCCCCATTCCCATTCGCCCTTTAAAGGTGGGGGGACAGGAGATTTTCCGTAGTTTTTTAGTAGCTAGAGTATGCATTCTACCGTCACGGTGTACAACGCTAAATGTCACTCTGTGTACAGCTGTCGTCCTCGCCTTTATGTATGCAATCAGGCGTGCGCTTTCTCTCTGCCCGCGTTGCTCAGTCGGTAGCGGCGCCGCACCCTCAATCATCGCCCTCACAAGTTCAACTCCCCGAGGGGCATCTTTGAACGGAATTTCGAGAACATTATTTTTTTCATGTCCCCCCACCTTTAATCTCTTTATTTGCACTTTACCACCTCCCATTTCTCCAAATGACCACTTTTTTGTTGCACTTTTAAATGACAATTTTGGGAATTTGAATTTCGAATTTTCCTGTTTATTCGCGCCATCAAATTTTCTCATTTATTGACAATTTTTTTCATAATTAAGTGTTTCAGGTATTATCGGTCATCGTCAAAATGATCAGTGCCCACAGTACATCAATTCTCGACCAAAGTCCACCCGGTATGTTTTTATTTATTTTCTAGAGAAGTTGTGCAATTTGAGCTCAATTATCTCGTCTTCCATAAAAAATGAAAAATATCTGTTAACTGATAAAATGTTTATCAAAATATTACCAACATTTAATCAGTTGACAGATTTTCGATATCTTTTGAATGAACAGAGATAATTGAGCTCAAATTGCACGTACGCTGTGACTAGATTAGAGCAAATAGTTGTCAACTAATAAATTGTTCATCATAATATCACCAACATTTTATCAGTTGACACATTTTTCATATCTCTCGAAGCCGAGAAAACTGACATCAAATTGCTTACTGTAGGATAGATTAGCGCAAGTACAGAAAGTATTGATAAATCGGCATTCAAAAAATGTCAATTTAGAATCCATCCATTTTCAGCGCTTCGAATTGGCCGCCGTCGTTGCGCTTCCGAAGTTCGTTCCGAGCCAGCACGCGTCTCTTCTTCGGATCCTTCGTGCCAAAAGTGCAAAGAGCTTCACGGTAAGGTTATTTCGAATTTCTTCGAGGAACCCAGAAAGTTTTCAGCTCGGGTCCAGGAGCAGAGAGCGTACCGAAAGAAGCTCGTCGAAAAGAAGGACGACAAAATCCGAAATTTGATGGATCACATTGACGGATATGGCAAGGTTATGGATCAAAATGGTGAGTGAGGGGTTTGAAAGAATACTGTAAGAGTATCGTTTGCTCCAATGATAGAAGCTCAATTATCTCGGCTCCTTCAAAAGATATCAAAAAATGTTCAACTGATAAAACATTCATCATAATATCACCAACATTTGATCAGTTGACAAATTTTTGATATCTTTAATGGGAACCGAGATGATTGAGCTCGAAGTGTGCGTATTGGCTGAGACCCATTTGTTTTTTTTTCAGCCGAGATGAAACAAGAAGTCAGGAAGATGCAAACTCGAGTCAATGACTTGGAAGCCAAAAATCTTCGGCTCGGTAAGTGAGATATCAGGACATACAGACGCACAGACTTCCTTTTTTTAAACATAACATTTTAAATTTCAGCCACCGAGAACTTCGATTTGAAGGTCCAGATGAGAGACATGGAGAACCAGCACGTGATGGATCGTCAAGCTGACCAGGACAAGATAATCGAACTTGAGCAATTCATCGGCTACCTGCAGACGTTGAACACGCGTCTTGCAGATGCTCAGTGAATGATAAAGTTGTTGGAAATTGATGATTTTATTTTTGTTCTGTTCTTTGTTCTCTGTTCAATGCTGTTGCAATAAAAATCTGAAATTCTTAATCTTCCGTCAAATGCGTATTTTCCCAGTTTCAGTTTCCCTCCTAATTCGATTTTTGTCGCGCCAATAAAACCCGGCAAGGCTTCCTATTTCTCCTATTCTCCCGGTTTTTTGTTCTGTCAATTCATGATTTCTATCTGAAATGCTTTGAAATTGCTTCTGGGCAAGAATGCAAAAGGTTTGCGCTGTCTGTGATGGCCAATCGTCTGGAGGAAAGAGTGGTGGAAGACGTAAAACAAAAGGAGGAGGAAAGAGAGGTAAGCGAAACTTGGCACGTTGCCAAGATAGTGCAAACGGGTCACAGACGGGCCAACAACGTGATGGGTCTTAGCTTGTTTCAGCTTCTATATTTTATGTTTAGTTGAAATAGGTGGGGTAGGTTTTGGTCAGATGATACTACCGTAAATGCTCTAAATGAAGCCCTAGCTAGAAGTGCACTTTGAGCTCAATTATCTCAATTCTTATAAAAGATATCAAAAATTTATCAACTTATGAAATGTTTATCATAACATGACCAATATTTTATTGGTTGGCAGCGTTTTGCTATCTTTCGAAAAAACCGAGATAATTGAACTCAAAGTGCACGTATAGGCACATTTACAGACCATTACAAGGCTCAAGATCAACTTTATCGTCTGAACGGGCAAAAAGTAGCCAAATCGGTTGAGGATTTATCACAAAAGGTTGTAGACTTGGAGGAGAAAATCATACAATTGAAAAATCAGGCGAAAACTGATAGTAGGTTTTTTAGAATCATTTATTCAAAACTTTATTCAAATCTCTGCAGATCAACACATTATAAACCTGAAAAAACAGTTGAACAACGATAATAATAATGCTCAAAATCTCAAAAGACGACTTGTGAAAGCGGATCAGGACATCAAGAAATTGACTGATCTAGTTGAGATATCTGACAACATCCGCGAAGATTTCGGTGAGATTTTAAACACTATCACTTTGAGCTCAATTATCTCGGTTTCTATAACAGGAATCACAATTTTGTCAAATGATAAAACACTGGTAATATCATGATAAATAATTTATCAGTTGACAGATTTTTGATATCTTTCCTAGGTGTCGAGATAATTGAGCTCAAAATGAGTGGGCTTCTTTCGGAAAAAATACGGTAAGTCATAAAATGACTCATAACCGGTATTTTTCAGCTATTGAAATCTCCCAACTTCGCCAGGAAGACAAAAGATTGAAATTGAAACTTGAAAACCTAAAAACCGATTCAAAATCTGAAATTTGTGCATTGAAAGAACAACTCCAGAATTGTGGTAAGTACCCATAGCTTAAATAAATTCTAAAAAAAGCAAAATTCCAGAATCTCAAATCATCCAACTCCAAAACAATCTGAGCCAATTTAAAGTCAGTTTTGAAGAACAAGGTGAGCCAGAAATAGAAAGAATTCGGCAAAAATTTAACATTTTTCAGGTATCGAGAGTCTGTTCCTCCAGGAGACCATCCACGAGAAAGATTTGTTGAATGAGGAACTTAGTCAAGCGATCAACAAAGTTGTTCGGGAGAATGAAGAGCTGAAATTGAGAATCAGAGGGCTGGAAGCTGAAAGAGAATATTTTCGAGGCCATCGAACTGAAAATAGATAATTTTTGTGCTCATTTTTTTGTTGAAATTCGGAAAAACTATAGGATTTTATTTTGTGGTGGGCTCAGGTTCTCCGGGGGGCAACATTTACAAAAATTGCATTTTTTCTGATTTCTTGGCGCTTCTCTCGATAGCGGAAAATTAGCTTTTTTGGCACTTAAAAATTCTAGGACATTCCGAAATTTGAAATGGGAATGCAATTTTTTCGAATACTGCTTCTCGAATTTTTTTCGTTTTCAAACATTTGAATTATGAATAAAATGAACTAAACTATTCTTCAGTTTCAAACAATTTTGTTATTTTTTCAATTTTTACAATTTTTTTGAATGGGAATTCAGAAATTGGAAATTGGAATACGGTTTTTCCATAAACTGCTTCTCAAATCGTTTTCGTTTTTAAACCTTTGAATTATGAATAAGATGAACTAAACTATTTCCCAATTTCAAAAAGATTTGTTATTTTTTCAATTTTTACAATTTTTTGAATGGGAATTCAGAAATTGCTTCTCGAATCCATACTTGTAATCCGGGCCTTTGCCGGGCCTTCGCGGGCCCTGCCATAACTTCTTTCAGAATCAATGTTTGCGAACTAACTCAATCAGGTATGATAGAGCTCCACGTGTACTACAAAACGGTATTATTTGGAATACTGTATCTTGTCTATGAACAGAGTTACAGAGCAAAAGGAGCAAAAAAAAAGCAGGCCTGCCCCGGGCCTGCCGGGCCCTGCGAGAAAAGCCACTTTATGATCTGTAACTTTGTTCATAGGCAAGATACAGTATTCCAAATAATACTGTTTTGTAGTACTCGTGGAGCTCTATCATATCTGATTTAGTTGATTCGAAAATATCGATTCTGAAAGAAATTATGGCAGGGCCCGCGAAGGCCCGGCAAAGGCCCGGATTACAAGTATGCTCGAATCTTTTTTGTTTTCAAACATTTATACTATGAATAAAATGAACTATACTATTCTCCAATTTGAAAACAAAAACGATTTGAGAAGCAGATTTAAAAAAAACGGTATTCCAATTTCCAATTTCTGAATTCCCATTCAAAAAAATTGTAAAAATTGGAAAAATAACAAATCTTTTTGAAATTGGGAAATAGTTTAGTTCATCTTACTCATAATTCAAATGTTAGAAAACGAAAACGATTTGAGAAGCAGATTTTGAAAAAACGGTATTCCAATTTCCAATTTCCGCAAAAAAAAATTTTTTTTGCTCCTGGGTCCTGGGGCATTATTGTTTTTTATTCAAGACCAGCGAATTTCCAAAAAACGTCATTAAGAGAGAAAAAATGGAAAGTAAATTATGTGCTCGCTTCACAGAACAGAAAGTTCATAGACGTAGCCACATTATGAAAAAAAAAAACAAAAAAGTTATTCAGATGACACATTTTTGAAATCTTTCCCAGGAATCGAGATGAAATAATTCAAAATTGATTCTGTAATTTTACAGTAGCTGAGAGTCATAAATTTTGAGATGCCTGAGAATGTATTAAAAAATTTTTGAATTTGACTTTATGAGTCTCAATACCTGAAAATCCAGATCAAACCAGAAATATTCATTTCCTGTTCTTAAATTCTGACTCAGAAACCAATTTTCACCAAAGTAGACAATTTACACCTAGTGATTGCATTTTTCGTACATAATTTGATCGGTATTTTCGCTTTTGGCACGTTTTCGGTGTGACAAAACATTCCAATCTTGTTCAGGCTTATCCTGATTCGATTTCTTATTACTATGATTATTTTTGGTTCTATATGTTCCAAGTTTTCAATTTGATACTACATTTTTATTCGATCTCAGAAACTTTTTAAAAAAACTTGTTTTACCGTATTTGCTCTAACTTTGAGCTCACATATTTGGGTTTTTATGAGAGATATCAAAAATGGGAAAACAAATTAAATATTGGTTATATTATGATGGATAATTTCGCAGTTGAAAATGTTTTGCTATCTGTTGATGGAACCGAGATAATTGAGCTCAAAGGGCAAATATATAATTTCCTAGTCTCTGAAATTTTTAGCTATGAACGACACGCTGCGAGAACCAACTACACGAGCTGTGGGCGCTGAAATTATGCTGGTAAACTAAAATTTTCCAAGAATTGAACTTCAAAAAAATTAAGGCCTCATTTCTGGGTTTAATTATCAATTTTTATATGATGTCCTATTTTTCAAAACTGGAAAAATCAGGATTTTATATTTTGTGTCTATCGAAAACGATTTCAAATTGTATGAGCTTGTGTATTTATTTGTTCTATGCGGGGCCAGTGAATTTTTTGTGAGTTTAACATTTATTTTTCCAAAAAAAAATTGGAAAAAATTTCAGCTACACTCAAATTGGACCGTGTCTTTTAGACGCGTATATGAACCAGATTCTGGGATATGGTCTACTTTTACAAGGTGAATCTCCGAATCTCAGAATTCCAGAATTTCAGAATTTTAGAATCTCAAAATCTCAGAATCTCAAAATCTCAGAATCTCAGAATCTCAGAATCTCAAAATCTCAGAATCTCAGAATCTCAGAATCTCAGAATCTCAGAATCTCACAATCTCAAAATCTCAGAATCTCAAAATCTCAGAATCTCAAAATCTCAAAATCTCAGAATCTCAGAATCTCAGAATCTCAGAATCTCAGAATCTCAGAATCTCAGAATCTCAGAATCTCAGAATCTCAGAATCTCAGAATCTCAGAATCTCAGAATCTCAGAATCTCAGAATCTCAGAATCTCAGAATCTCAGAATCTCAGAATCTCAGAATCTCAGAATCTCAGAATCTCAGAATCTCAGAATCTCAGAATCTCAGAATCTCAGAATCTCAGAATCTCAGAATCTCAGAATCTAAAATTTCAGGCCCAGCTACACAATTCATCATCACCATCAATCGTTTCTACGTAATTTGTTTCTCTCCAGTCAACATTCCAGCCTACAGTAACCACATTACTGTAGCAGCAATCGCAGTATCGTGGACTGCAAACGGCTGGTTTGGAACACTAATTGGGCTGCCAAGTGAACCCTAATTTTTTTTAATTACCTCTCTCTAATTATCTATAATTACAGCTGATTGTCTTATTTCTTTTGGATTCGAGCATCTAGACTGTATATGGTACTCTGATTGTGGAGATGTTGTGGGATATTACCAGATAATGATCATTTTTATATTAGCGATCGCTAATAACTCTATGAACTTCCTAGTAGCGATTAAACTGTTCTGTACTGCTGTAAGTAATTGAAAACTAGTTTCTGAAACTTAAGAAAATTCCAGAAGTCCCTCATGAAAATGTCCTCGGGTGCTGCGAAAAATCGACGGAAACTTTCTATCCGATTTTTCATCCAATCTGTGGTCCAGGATTGGATTTGTGTGCTAGACTATTTCAATAGCTACTTTGCGATGTCAAAAATTTGTGAAGAAATTTATTGCATTGTCTTCATGACCATGGGTTTCGATGTGTTGGTTTATGGATTGGATGGGTGGGCGGGAGTACTGTAGTTTTGAAAGTTCGAAAATTCCAAATTTAAGGTTGGTTATGTATCTGTTCAATCGGAATGTGGAGCAAAAAAGTGAGCGGAATTCGAGACCGAAAGTTTCGGATGGACCAACGTTAACCTAATTATTTCCTTTTGTTCATTTTGAAAGTCATCTGTGTTGTTTTTCAAAATAAACCTTCTCTTTCTTAGAAAAAAACATTTTCTGATCTCGTTAAAAAATATTAATTGAATAAAAAATATAAATGAATACAAAAAAAAATGTAAAAACGACAGAAGGAGAGGTGCGGTTACTAGGAATGAAAAACAAAAGGATGGGATTTTTGAAAAATCCCCTGCATGAGAAATCCCAACTTCTACAAGAATACCCACACTATGGATCTTCTAAAAAAACTGATTTGCTTTCTTTTTTAAATTTTTTGTGATTTTTCAAACATTTCAGACAGTCTATGAACAAGAAGAAATTCTAATTTTTGAATGTCAAGTATCGTATTCGCCCTAATAGAAGTCCCAACCAAACCGCCAACATTGAGCTCAATTATTTCGGTTCCTTCAAAAGATATCAAAAGTCTGTTAACTGATAAAATGTAGCTGATAATATGAGAAATATTTCATTAGTTCTATGATTTTTGATACCTCTTACAGTAACCGAGATAATTGAGCTCAAAATGCACGTGTAGGGTGGCCTGTATTAGAGTTATCGTAGTCAGCTGTTGGATAGGCCTGAAAATTCTAAAGTATGCTAAACAAAAATAGAGCTCCAATTTTGTAGTGGACAACATTTTCGTGCAAATTCATAGAAACAAGATATACCTATTTAAACCAACCAAATGCCAAAGTTTCAGATATATTTCTAAGTTTAGAGTCATTACACTTTGAAGTGGCGAATCGGATTTGAACGAATTTGTAGAAAAAACTTGTGAACTACAAAATTGAAGCTCTATTTGTGTTCAGTATTCTTAAAAATTTTGCTGACCGATTCAACATAATTTAATATATTTTCCAGACACCCATATCTGGTTATTTTGAACCACAAGGTCTGTTTTCCATTTTTCAATTTTTTTTTCGGGATTTTCTTTTTCGTTTTTAAATTAATCTAGTTGTTTCCCATCTTAAATTCTAAAATTTCTCTTTTTTTTTCGTTTTCTGAAAAATCGGAATGTTCTATTCTGGCTTCCAGAACTTTAAAATTATTTTTCAGATTTTCCACATTTTCAAAATGAACAAAATTATTACACAAGGATTCGGGTTTCATTTAATTTCTGTAAGTTAATTTTTTGAAATTTCCAAATTTACACTTCTCATTTTCAGGTTTCTCTCGTGGGACTTACCATAAACGCCTACATGTTTCAAAATCTATTAAATTTTCCAAAATCCAGTTATTATATTTTGTGTTGCTCTAAAACAGTTTCGAATTGTTTGAGCCTTCTAGTCTATCTTAGTTATTCAGGACCAACGAATTTTTTGTGAGTTTTAGTTTTTGTTCTCAGGTTTTCAAATTTTTTTTCAGCTACACTCAAATTGGATCTTGCACATTGAATTCTTATTTAAACCAATCTCAATACGGATTGATGCTGTTAGGTAGTCTTCGGACCTCTCAATCTCAGTCAGATTTGAAGTTTATAGGTCCCATTACTCAATTCTTGATTGCCATTAACCGATTTCTAGTTGTCTGGTTTTTTCCAACGTCTTCTCTGGAGTACAGTAACCATGTTACTGTAGCTGCCATAACAGTCTCTTGGGTGTTTACAGCTTGGTTTTCAACGCTTCTGGGACTTCCGAGTAAAGAATTTTAATGATGAAAATAGGAAGAAATTTGAAATCTAACTTTCCTGTGAATGATATTAAAAAGTTATCAACTACCAAAGTTGATATTTCATATTATGATAAACATTTTATCAGTGGAACAAGTTTTGAATTCTACTATAGGAAGTTAGATATATGGGCCTAAAGTTGATGATTTGGGAGGCATTCTACTAGAGTGTGTATGTATTTCTGTTTGGTACTGTAGATCGAATTTGGACTCAAAATTTTAGCCTCTTTAAATACTGGTTCAATTTTTATATTTCCTAAAACAATACTTTTCAGAAAAGTGCCGAGTTTCATTTATCTTCCCACATGTTCCTTGTCTCAACAGTTCAGACTGCAACGACCAGATGATATTTTACTTTGCTTTCTCTCTGTTTGCTCTAGCTGTTACTACTAACTTCTTGAATATCTTAATTGCAGCTAAACTGTTCTGTATGTCGGTAAGACATCCAGTGTTTAGACCCAATAATCCGCATTCTTCAGAAGCTTCAAAAAGCGCTCTCTTCGGACGCTCACAAAAGCCGTCGACGTCTTTTTATCCGAATTTTTCTTCAATCATGTTTCCAGGATTGGATATATGTTCTTGATTTCATCAACAATTATTGTGCGAGTCAGTACTGTAGTGAAGATTTGTGTTTAACTGTGATTACTATGGGGGTTGATGTGTTGATTTATACAGCGGATGGGTAAGCTTTGCAGTTTGATGGTTACTGTAGACACACTGTTTCAAGGTTGATCATGTTTATATTCAATCGGAATGTGACACTCAAAAGTACCAATGCAACTGTTGGAGGATCGAACAAAGGAAAAACTACGAATTCTATAAAACCCGGAATTACTATAATATCACCATGAACTGTCTTGTTTTTCTGTTTTTTCTCAAATTGAATTACAAAGAAAATTTGATTATCAAAAGAGAAGGAAAAAGTTCCAAAAAACAAGAACAAAGATGAAAAATAGCAATTTTTGAAAGTCAGAACATTTTAGTAAAAAAATTAATAAATTCTAGCCGCCTGAGATGTTGTATTCTGTGTCGTTTCCTTCTTTTTCACACTTAACACAATGGTTTTTTTGTTTTCCGCAGAGTGTTGGAAAAAGAGCATGACGAACCTAAAAAATTGATTTAAAGCAACAAAAAATTTAAAAAAAAAACAGCAAAAAGTTTATTAATTGTAACTACCATAACATCTGTGATAGCAGGGAACCCTCACTCTCTAGTTTGAGCTCATTTATCTCGGCTCCTATGCAAGATATAAAAAATTTGTCAACTGATGAAATGTTGGTGATATTATGAGAAATATTTTATCAGTTGACAAATTTTTGATTTATTTTATAGGAACCGAGATAATTGAGTTTGAAGTTGACGGTTTGAATTGACTTCTATTAGTGGGAATACGGTAGCAACAAAAGGAAATACATATTCAATAGTTTCACATATTTTCTAGTGGAAAACACCTAATTTCGGGTGTCTGAAAAACATGATAGTGTCTGAAAAAAATGATAAATGTCTGAAAAACAGGTGTCTGAAAAACATGATAAATTCACTCAAATAAGAAGAACCACATTCAGCGCTCTTGCTGGATGTTTTGCCACTTAATTGCTTTCAAGCGGTATATCTCATTCAGATGAATTTCTACAAAAAAGTTGTCAACTACAAAAAGGAAGCTATTTTTTTGTTTAGTAGACTCTGAAAATTCAAGACGTATTCAACAATCTTAACTATATTTTGTAGACTTCCAAAGTTGACTATTTATTTTGGATTATATGGTTTATTGGGATATGAACACACACACACACACAAAGATAAAAATCCTGGAGGGCTTATATAGTACAATAAAGTGGGAGGAGTTAACATTAAAGTGATGTGGAAAGATCAAGAATGAAGGGGGAAAATGAGTCATATGAAAAGCAATATCTGTAAGAGCACATTATTGCATTCTTACAGTTGCGGGGGATACAAAAGAGCAAAGAACAGTGACGTCACGTCCAAAATCGTTCTGAGCTTGAAGAATAACTACGAAGTAGTACTCGTTTCTCGAGTACACTATTTGTCATTGAAAAAGGTGAAAGTATACTTTCGGCTGGTATGCTTTCGACTCTCTAATGGAAACCCACCCAAGCATTTTGAGCTCCATTATATCGGCTCCTTCAAAAGATATCAAAAAGTAGTCAACTGATAAATTGTTTATCATAATATCAGAAGTGTTTTATGAGTTGACACAGTTTTGATATTTTTCACAGGAAATGAGATAAATTGACTCAAAGCTAAAACAGGAAAATACATAGTTATATGGTGTTTACGGTGTATTCTACGGTAGTCTTCTACAAAGCATAGTTTCAACTGTACAATTAGCAACAGAAATGTCAGTGCTATCATTTATTGAGTTCCAGAAAGTTCAAAAACGATCTAGAAACATCTAGAATCTTTTTGTCACTCACCCATCTAACACAGGAGTCATCAAATTCGAAAAAATATCGAAAATAAACCTAAACACAATTCCATCGTTCAACAAATCGATATATGTGCTATTGACACTATCAATAGCAAATATCCAATCCTGTATACAACTTTGAATGAACAACTTTTTCGATTTCGCCTGACGACGTCGAATTGTTTCAGAATGCATGTGCTTTTTGTTCTGTATCTTTATCAGTGGTATAGAAAGCGAATTCTAGAGTAATCTAGAACTTACCACAGACATAACCAATTTTATAAGGACAATTAGATTACATACGTTGGAAAGGATCGCACAGATAATCACAAATCCCATGGCGGCCTCTCCAATATCATCATCACAACCACCACTCCACCAATTCAGCAGTTCAGGATTATAGATCACATTACAATTATCTGTAGTTTGTAGTTTTTGAAGTTGTTGTGCTCTCTCAAATTACCTATGACCCCCATTGATGTGATAGCAATCGCTGCTAACCAAAACATCACTAAAATAACTACAGTAATTTTCTGATTGTTCTGAGTCATTGCCTGTTTCACAAATACCATCACCATTAATCGATTAATAGATATCATGAACTGAGTAATCGGACCCAAAAGGTAGATTCCATAACTGACCATTTGGTTTACAAGCATGTTGAAAAATGTTGGCCCGGTGAAATTTTCACTAGAATTTTTTTTAATTTTCAGATTCCAAAATTGTTTTAAAATCTTACATTACAGTAATTGGAGCATTATGCAATAGATACCCGAGGATTATAACCATATTAGAGAGAGTTTTTGAAGAGCACATAATATAAAAACTGCTCATTTTCTGTTTACAAAAGCTTTGCAAGACTTTAAAATTCACAGCGATTCCAATAATGGAAATCTGCAATTCCTCTTGGATTTCTAATTTTTTAAGTAAAGGATAACTGTACCAAGAACATGAGATATCCCATAAACTTGATCGTAATCGGATCGGCGATTTCTCTGGGAAGAACTTTCCCATTTTTTAGTAAATTTAACGTGTATTCCGAAACCATTTTTTGGAATCAAAATATTGGATAAAAAACTCCAGAAAAAATGAAGAAAGCCTGAGAAAAAAATCTGGAAAGTTTGTGATTCTGATCCGACGTCAGAAAGTAAGATTGTTTTTCCGGGAAAATGCAGAAAGAAGAATTGGAAAAAAAAATGGTAAACGGAATTTAATTTTCAGGAGAATTGGTTTTTGAAGAATGCAATTAATCATAGGAAAACACTGAAAAACAAAAGAGATCTGTGATATTATTATTCGGGTAATCAGTTTTGAAAACTCAATAATATGAGAATCAGAATAAAGAGCTTCTTGGAATTTTATTTTTTTCATTTGTTAACCCCAATAGACAATAAGTTATTAACTTTTTGAATCCAACTTATCAAAAAAAATTCACATTTTTTAAATATTTTCTAATTGAAAATATTCTTCTAATTTCGCTAGTCAATCAATTATGCTGATAATTTATTCAGTAAATAAAATGCTAATATTAATGATTCAAAAATAATGAAAGGCACAAAAGTGAAGTGAATTGTGAAGAACTTGGTTGAGATGACAAATTTTGATATGAAAGGAAGTCGGCTGATTGTTTTCCGAAGGTGTAGATGAATCTGAAACAAAAAAAATGTTTTTTTAGAAACTTCGAGGTTTTGTGATTTCAAACTGAGTCAAACTTTTGCACGAAACACACCATAAAACCTGTAATAGAAGAGCACCCTAATTTTAAATTCGGTTCCTGTGAAAGATATAAACAAGTTGTCGACTGATAAATTTTTTATCATATAATCATTCTTATATAAATAAATGAAGTTGCGTCTCTTTCTCAAGCTGTCCGAACACGTTGAAAAAATTGGAATAAAATATAAATTTACGTGGCCCTTTGAATAATACAGAGGAGCGAAGCGACGAACAGTAAAAGATATAGATTAAATCGCGCCGAAGACGCACCAGGCAACTGTTTGAAGCGCCGGAGGCGCGGCAAGGCTGGGTATCATTAATATTTCATCAGTTGACAAATGTTTGATATCTTGCACAGGAATTGAGGTAATTGAGCTCAAACTTGACAGTGTGGGGGCCCTTCTATCACAGGATTGACGGTTACCGTATTTGCTCTAACAGAAGCTTATCCTATACATGCCCTTTGAACTTAATTATCTCGGTTCCTATGAGAGGAATCAAAAATCTGTCAACTGATAAAATGTTTATCAGAACATCAGAAGCTTTTTGTTAGTCGACACATTTTTGGTACATTCACAGGAACCGAGATAATTGACCCCACGCTGTTGTTGGTGCAATTTCACTGACTTTCGCCCACTTCCCTGAACTTGGCGCACCTTTGAATGACTTTACTGTGAGTCCAAAAACAGGGTCTCTATAACAATATGGTCAGAAGTCTAATAGTTAGAACAATTCTAAACAAGTACCTATAAAGTGTAAAAGGTAATATACCTACTCAATACCCTATGGTGTCCCTTTTTTCGTCAGAAACTGAAATCCTCTTACCTAATCGTTTTCAATCTTTTCCTCTTCCATCCATGAGGCTACCTCAGCAAACGCTTCTTCATATATCGTTGGGTCCCATGGTTCCACTTCCAAGTCATCAATCTCCGCTTCCAAATCGTCATCATTGTTTGATATGCTTCTGCCATAACCGGAATCCACATCGTCCAGACTTATAATCTCGATTTGGTCAAAAACGTCCGACATCTTCGCAAAAAAAAAACAAGGGAACTGAAAAAGATAAGTGACAATCTAACTGAAAATTGAAGATGAGGAAGAGCCGATGAAAAAATACTAACTGAAAGGATAAGATGAGGAAGAGCAAGTGTTATTAACATCAAGAAATGTTCTTAGACAATGAAGAAATTTTGGGATTTCAATCGTTTAAAAAGTGGGCTCGAGAGAGAATGAAAATACAAAGCAGCATTCTTGATAAAACAAAGAAGGAAACGAGACAGACAGTCTCTTGAAATAAGAAATAGATAAGAGAGCATACCAAAAGTTTTCAAAAATGAGACTGTGTGGAGACGGAGGAAAACACTTTACACTGATGATGGGCTCTCCTGGGAACGTCTCTAGCTCATAAGGAACAACTGTTGGGTCTTGGTGGATCGAAGCAGAATATTCAAAACGAAATTTATGAACAGCTTTTTTATAAAGTATGATTTATTCTACATAAAAATTCAAATTTCGATGAAATCCGGGAAAGCTATTGAATGGGTGGAGTTTATAGAGAAATACTGGAGATTTCGAAAAAAGACGAACGCGTCTAACATTGGCACCATGCCAATCAGAGCAATTTCAACATAATGCTGCTATTTCGACAGATGGTTGTGTGTATTTCAAAACTTATCGTCAAAAACTGTAATGTAAGAAAACCAAGACAACTGATAACAGTTGTATGCTCCTCGCTTTAATGATGAGTCATTGATACTATCAGATTGGTAGTGAGGGAAAACACAGATTAACAATGCAATAAGAAACAATAATGAAAATAGAAACTTCGGGTTTGTGGGAAAGACTACTGCATTTGCTCTAATGGAAGCTCACCCTATGTAAACTTTGAGCTCAATTATCTCGGTTTCTATAAGAGATACCAAAATTTTGACAATCGATAAAATGTTGGTGATGCTATGATTTATCAGTTGATAAAGTTTTGATAGCACTTGAAGGAGCCTAGATAATTGACCTCAAAGTTCAAGGATATGGTCTATTAGAGTGCGTCTAGACCGTCAGTAGCCGCCAAGTTTGAACTTCCCATGCAGATAAGAACACTCGTATTCTTTTTTTTTTCGAAAATTTGGTTTATTGATCTACAGAATTACATATCAGAATGGGGAAACAAAACTTAACATTTAGATATGAAATCAAGAGAAACCAGAAAAAAAAATTATATGTACTTGTGATTGGGAAGCAAGGTTTGGGGATAAGGAAATGAACATTCGAGATGGTTTTTTTGTGAGAATCGCAAAACAATAAAGTCTGAGAAGGAAGAAAAATCGGGGTCATGTTTGTATTCGTAAAACAATGAGCAAGAGTGTCTTTGTGGGCGGAACCTAAAGAGCCGAAGTTTCTGAAGTGAGATTGAAGGCGGGAGGGATCAAAGGTAAAAGGAAGAGGACCAATAGAGAGTTCGTTTTAGAAGGAGCTTGAAGAGCACATTTTGAAGATTCTGGAGTGAGGATCGAGGGGGTAACAATGATTGAATTTTGGATTTTTTGGGTACAATTCAACTCGAAGAGATTATTGGACAAGAAAACAGGAGAATCTTGAAATTGACATATTGGAAGAAGGGGCAAGTAGAATTTTAGGAAGAGAAGGAGGAGGGAGAAGAGAAACATAAAAAACTCAAAGAATCTGAATTTGAATCTGAATCAACATTTTGAGGAGGAGGAGCTGGAGGAGGGAGAATCAAAGTCTTCAGATGCAAAGAAGATTTAGTGGCGAGGATCAAGGGCAAGGGAGGAGGAAAAAATAACCAGGAATCTGGTTCTGAATCTGAATCCGAATATGAGTGAATCTTAGAGGAGGAGGAGCTTTCGAGATGAGAAGAAGCTTGTGAGATGAGAGTAGGGGGAAAAATATGGAGTGATTGCGATTTTCCTTTTTTTTTGAGTGAGCACTTCAAAAAATAGTCACTTCAGAATCCGAAACAGTTTGGAGGAAGATCAGGGGAAGGGAGGATCAAAATTTTTCGAAGAGCGATAATTGCTCAGATTCTGGGTACGTGACATGGAGCGGGTCCGGTAGAGGAGGAAGAAGACAAAAGACAAGAGAAGAGGGGAAAAAAGGGGACAACAAAATTAATAATCCAAGTCCAATGGGTCCTTGGGAGCGCTTCTTGGAATCCTGTTGTCCCAATAATTTCCCCGCTCTTCTTGGGTATCGGGAATGTAGTCGGGGTCGGTTTGCGAATCCCCGATGATCTCCTCTTGGGTCTCCTCTACATCCTCCTCCGATGACGATGGTTCTCTCTGAAACAGAAAACATTTTAAATTAGAAATGCTTTTTTTTTTCAAAAATTGCAACATCTGAAAAAAATCCTTTCAAACAGCTATATCGAACATTTCTGAAAACTTCTAGAAGGTTGTTAGTTTTTTTTTGAATTCTAATATTTTTTTTTGGTTGAGAATTTAAACAAGTAGTTTACTATTCGCATTTTGGTATGGTGCTTGAAATTCCTTTGAAAAAAATTTTCAAAATTTTTTACTTCGAAAAGTTTTGAAAACTCTGAATTTTCAAATGTTTGAATTTCAGAATTTTTTCTGATTTTCCGATTTTTTTCTGTATATTTAAATACTTGAATTTTTTCAGATTTTTGAATCTAAAAAAATTGGGAATTTCTGAATTTGGTACCCTCGAAGATGTAGAAATGTTGACTATCTAACGAAGAGTATTCCTATTGAATAGTATCCCAAATATTACAACAGTGCTTCAAAAAACTTACCAGATTTATTGATCTGAGCCGTGTGCTCGGTGTTCTTTGGTCCTCCTTGGCCTTCTTCGATTTCTTCTTCGGCGTTCTCTTCTCCTCCTCCTCCTGGTTATCTCCTTCATCCTCACTCTCAATAATAACACGATGACGACGTGGCGATATGAAGACCTCCTGAAAATTTGTTCATTAGTTATGTAGAACATAATGGTTAGCTAATTTGAAACTGTTGAATTTTCTATTTTTGTGGGTTGAAATGTTAAATTTCACTTACCGAATCCTGTATGTCATCCTCCTCCCCCTTGTCGGGTTTTTTCGCGGGGCTGCGGTTCACGACCTATAACTTGAAAAATTATTTGATTTACTCCGGAAAGAAAACTCACAATTTTAATTTCGGTTTTATCTCCGGTTTTTGAAAAAACCGTTGTTAAAGTGCTTCCTGAACAGCTCTCATCTGACATGAATTGGCGGAGCGTTGGCAGCACAGTTTTTTCGATTAACTCCTGGGTATCCTTAGCTTGATGAAGAGTCTGGGACCGATCATCCGATGGAGCGGGAATCCGATCATCCTCAAAAGCTTCCATTTTCGGAGCAATGAGTGTCGACGGTGCTAGGTACATCCTGAACCGCTCCGGAACGTCTTGTCCTTCTGGGATATGTATCCCTTCCTCGTCCACTCGGAGCCCTTTCTCCCTGGCATCCATGCGAGCTTTGAGCTCAGGTCTTGAGAATGATTGAGCTCCACGAGGGAAGTCCTCAAAAGAATCCCTGCTCTCCTCCGAGTCTACCTCTTCCTTTACGACAATCTTGGTCATCTGTTGTGAGTTCATTCTTGCTGAAAATTTAGTTTTTCAAGTTTTAGAAATGAAAAATTAGCAGATTAGCAAAAAAAAACAAGACACAGACAGTCGAAAAACATGAAGAAGAAAAAAATTGAACTGCATTTCAAGCTCAATTATCTCGGTCTCTAAAAGAAATATTGGAAGTTTGTCAACTGATAAAATCTTGCTTGAATAATGGAAAACATTTTGTTAGCTGGCAAATTTCCATTATCTCTTATAGGAGCCGAGATAATTGAGCTTGAAGTGCAAGTACCAACTATTATAGATATTTATGTTTAAAAATGAGAATTTCAAAGGAAGATAAAACTTATAAAATTACTCCTTTTAAGTATTCAGATGTAAGTTCAGCTCAATTATCTCGGTTCCTATACGAGATATCCAAAATATGCTTACTAGCAAAATGTTGGTGACATTAAAGCAAACATCGTATCAGTTGATAGATTTTTAATATTTCTGATAAGAGCCAAGGTAATTGAGCTCAAAGGGTAAATACCTAGAAATAAGGCAAGTAGAATCGGTCAGCCAAAACCATTGCTCATGGTTAATAGAGGTCTCCCGTATTTTTTCCTCGGTGGGGTCAAAGAGAGTAGTGTACTGCTGTGGAGACGGTAGACACGTGGAGTGTTTCTTTTTGGCCGGGGTTGGCAACTGGCGGGAAAAAGGATGAGGAGAAGAAGAAGAAAAAAAGACACCGAACGAAATATTTGATGAGAAAATTGATGAAATTATCTATGAAATAATTTCTTTTGAAAGGGATTGAGAATTTCCGAATAATCTATTTCGGAAGTCAGTATTTCAAGGGGAAGAGAAAAGTTGCGAAATTATAAATTTTTTTGTTGAAATTTCTAAAGTCCGCAATGTGGCGTACGGAACAGATACATGAGACCCTACGACGGAAAAAAGTAAAGGAGGAAGATGCCAACTAGAAAACAAACAAGAGGAGAACGATGGAAGAATTCTGGTGGCGGGAAGGAGAGAAATTTGAAAAAGAAGAGAAAAAGTCAAACTTGGGGAAATCATCTAATGGCAAAACTAGAAAAAGAGAAGAATGAAACAATCAAATTTCGAAATTCGAGAAAAATTGAAAAAATACATTTTTGGGATATTTCGAAATACCTCAAATCAAATATCGGTATTTTTAAAATTCGGAAATTTTAACTTTAAAAAAGTGAATTTTCCTTTTTTGGAGTTAACAAAAATTCAAGAAGCTTCTCCTTATCAGTAAAACTACATTCCGTAAACCCTCTAATAGAACTTCACCCGATTCGTTAAATTTGAGCGTATGTATCTCATTTTCTGTGAAAGATATCAAAAAGTTGTTAACTAATGAAATGCTTCTGATATTATAATAAACATTTTATCAGTTGACAACTTTTTGATATCTTTTAAAAGAAGTGTGATATATAGACTCAAAGTGAACGGTCCCGGTGGTGTTCTATTAGAGTGATTATGGTATATTGCGAAAAAAGGAAAAGAGAATTAGTAGCATTCCTGTTCAAATAAACATAAGATTCTGATCAAAATTTGCATGAAATTCTGCTAAAAATTAGTTCAAAATTTATATTTTAAATTACTGAGAATTCAAGATTTTTATTCTTTAAAATATTTGAATGGAAATCAAAATGTTTGAAGTGAAGTTTCAAAATATGTTGTTTTTGAAAAACTGTAAAAAATCAAAAAATTTCGAAATTCTTGAAATAAAAAATGGTGAAAAACTCTGGCGACTGTCCTCCCATTTATCATCTTTTTACTTAAGACTTTTTGTAATTTTGGCTGCTGTCTCGCAACAAAAACTATGATTCATCCCTTCTTTCAAACATTGGAGGACCAAATGATGATACATTTTTCTTAAAGGTGGGGGGACATGAAAAAAAATAATGTTCTCGAAATTCCGTTCAAAGATGCCCCTCGAGGAGTTGAACTTGTGAAGGCGATGATTGAGGGTGCGGCGCCGCTACCGACTGAGCCACGCGGGCAAAGAGAAAGCGCACGCCCGTTTGCATACATAAAGGCGAGGACGACAGCTGTACGCAGAGTGACATTAAGCGTTGTACACCGTGACGGTAGAATGCATACTCTAGCTACAAAAAAACTACGAAAAATCTCCTGTCCCCCCACCTTTAATGGAAAAATGTTTTGTTTGAATTTGATCAGCAATAGGAAGGAAGCAAGCGATTTTTTGGAGAAGAAGTTTGGAAGAAATTGCAAAGGTTTGCCGCTAAATTGTATAGAGAAAAAATAATTATTTCTTAGATGATCAAAATCTAAAAAGTCTATCAGAAAAGTTGTTAGAAAATGCAATTTACTTCAAATTGAATTATCTCGATTCTTAGAAATGATTTATAAATGTTATCCTGACAAAGTGTTCATGGCTTGATAATAAACATTTCATTTGTTGACAACTTTTTGATAATTTGCATAGCATTTGAGATAACTGGGTTTAAAATATCGTGTTTCATGAACACGAATCTCATATTTATAAACACGGAATTGCGCAATGTATGACTAGTAGAAGGGAAGTAAATGAAACATGTGTTCTCTTTTCTTTTTTCGTTTGTTTCTCGCTTGATCACTCTGTTGTTGCCCGTGGGGGTTTAACCTCATTCCAATAAAAGATACCGATAAGTGAAGAGCAATTGTTATTGTTCTGTAACATAGAGAAACAGACTATGCATTGCAAGAAAATTAACGAAAATATAGATTTTAAAACATAACTTCAAGAAAATTTCGAAACATTTTCACCAAAAATAGATTTCCTAGACATCTGTTCCTTCTGCTAAATCCTAGACAAACAATTAATTTCCGCAAGGATTAGTGGTTGGACCTCTCTCTTTTTCATCATTTTCATTAATGATCTTCTTGAAAGTATCCCCAATGGTCTCCACTTCTCTGCTTTTGCTGACGACATAAAACTCTATTCCCATGATCCCTTCCTTCTACAATCTGGAATCAACACTATAGATACCTGGGCCACAAACAATAAGCTTCCTCTAGCTCATACAAAGACTTCTCTTCTACGCTTTGGTTCAAGAAACAAGCACGCTCCCCTTTTCATCTCCTCCTCAGCTATTGAGTCTTCTGACAATATTCGTGATCTAGGACTTATTACCGACTCCAAACTTAAGTTCACCCAACACATAAACAAATCGGTTGCTGTTTCACTTCTCCGATCCAAACAACTTTTGAAATCCTTCAAATCCTCCAACCCCTCATTCTACCTTCACTTATTCAAAACCTACGTACTCCCCTCTCTTGAGTACTGTTCAGTAATCTATTCTCCTCCCATGACAACCAAAGTATAATATGTTATCTTCAAGTAGGTCTCTTCAGGTGTTGAAATAAGTGATGTAAAAGTTTAGAATTACTTGATCATTGAAAAATTTAAGGGAAAAATATTGGGACAAAAAGGTGGAAGGAGTCAAAAAAGAAGGTTAAATATATCAAAACTTCAGAATCCATTAAAAAATTATTGCGTTTCTCTAGTCATCACAACAAATCCCATGAAAAATATACAAGACAAACTTTATTCAAGTAAAGCATTCGAAAATTCAATTAATGGTGGGTCAGCGGCTGGAAGATTCAATGATGCAGATGACGTCTATTTCTCAGAAAACGTGCAAGTTTCAGAAGATGGCTACATTGGAGAGGAGTCTGGCTTCGTGACGACGGTGAAGGCTCTCAATTTGTCTGTCAACTTTTGCATCTTTTCATCCTTATTTTCGTCTTGTCTTAAAAAAGGACATACGGACATTTAAAAATCCAAGAATCCAAGTCCAAGAATCCAAGAATCCCAGGAATCCCAGGAATCCCAGGAATCCCAATAATCCCAGGAATCCCAGGAATCCCAGGAATCCCAGGAATCCCAAGAATCCAAGAATCCAAGAATCCAAGAATCCAAGAATCCAAGAATCCAAGAATCCTAGCCCAGTATCCAAGGGTACATCGAAAAAGGGCACATCGAGTTCTTAGGGTACATTGGTTTCAAGGGTACATTGGATTGTTCGGTACATGTAGGTGGACAAAAAAAGTAAATCAATATTTTTATACATACTATTTTGCTTTCTGCTCAAAATTATAGGCTTAGGCTAAAACGCCTTACAGTCTAAGATCCCATGTACCCTCAGAACCAATGTACTCTAAGAACTCGATGTACCCTCGATGTACCCTTTTTCGATGTACCCTTGGATCGTGGTAAAATTCCGAAAAAAGCTCAGTCATGAGCTTAAGCCGACGAGACACGCTGCGTCTCTAACCTCGGGCACTTAAAATGACCGTATCTCGAGTTCTAGATGCGCTTGGAAGTTGGTAATTGGACACAAGTGGACAGTTAGAAATGGGTTATCAGATTATTTATGAAAATATCCTATTCCATAAAATCCTTTCTGACCATTTCCGAAGTCTGACTATCAAGCTTCTGATCACGTTGAAAATTTAAATTTTTGAAAGTGTAACACGGACCTAGATTGAAAACTTTGCATTCACAGAATTTTTGAAAACTCCTAGTTTTCCAGTTATTGTCCGATTTCTGAAGGACGTCTGCTTTTTTCACGTTTTCAGAACAAAAACAGGGTGTCCTTCAAAAGTCGGCAAACAACTGGAAGTTTGGGACCTTTCAGAAAATTCTGTAAATGCAAAGTTCTCAATCTAAGTTTCTTTTAAAACCTCCAAATTTTTCAAAGTGATTGGAAACTTGACCGCCGAGCTACAGACTCTAGAAAATGATAAAAATCAACTGATACTGTAGATAATTTGGAAGTTTTCAGCATCCAAAATCGTTGCCAATCGTTCGTTTGATGGTTGACGACAATGCGGAGTTTGTGATTGCTCGGGAGCTCAATGAAGCTGTGAATGTGTACCAAAGAGTAGTTTGTGCGTCTCCAGAAGCTGGCTATGTAGATGTGATGGAGGTGAATGTGGCGTTGAAAATTTGGGAGACTTATGGAGAGACCCTGAATGATATTGAGGTAAAAACAATGTCTGAAAATGAAACTACAAACATTTTTCAGTTCATTGTGGTGCCAATCACTCGCACGAAACACTGCTTCACACCGATCAAAAATGGAGCTGACCTATAATGCAAACCATCGGCAGATGTGCTCATTGAGCTTCTGAAAGAGTTGTTCTTCGGATCAAATGTGTTCCAAGCACCCAACAAGAAGACTTCGGAGACACTGATGTATCTTTTTAATGCCATGAGCACTCTGATGAAACCGGATATGGTTAGAATTACAACTTTCAGGAGTAAAATTAAATAATAATTCAAATTTTAGGAAGAAATCTATCTACTTGACAACCGAATGATTGATCATATCAACTTGCTATTCGCTCAAAAAATTCAAAAAAAACAATTGCCCAAAAAGTATTCGAGACGTTGGATCAAAAGGATTCACAGCAGAAGACGTTCGTCAGGAACTGAAGCTTCTGAAGGTCAACTTATTCTTCCCAGATGTCTGTCAACATGCTGACGTTGTATTCGAGAAGATTCAGAAGGCCAAACTCTTGAGAACTTGTGACATGTACGATGCTGTCGAGAATTGTATGCAGCTCAGTTTCTTCAAGCTGCTCCCTGATGTGAGTTATATGTACTACAGTAATTCAAATATTCAAAGTTATCTCATTTTTCAGTTTGGCAAGTTACTTCACTACCAAAAGGCGTGCCACCGAGTCTATGGACTGAAATGCGACCAGTGTGATCAGGAAAAGAAGAATCCAAAAGTCAAAAAACACTATATGACATTCTGGGGCCAGAATGAAGATTTTTCTCGAGGCGATAAGGTCATCAAGATGGAGATTCTCAATGATGATGGGACGGAAATTATCGTGCAGAATATTCCGGAACCTGCCAAGAAAACCGAGAAAAAAGAGAAAGAATCAAGCTATATGGAAGCTAAGGAGGAAGAGTAGTTTTTTTCTTGAATTCCTGGATTACTGGATTTTTGGATTCCTGGATTCTTGGATTTTTGGATTCCTGGATTCTTAGATTCTTGGATTCTTGGCCCACGATCTAGGGTTCCGAATTTGAAAAAGAGGGATGAGCTTTTACGTGAAAATGAGCTTTTCAAATAGCTCATTAAGGCTCATTTGATTTTGAATGAGCTTTTTGAAAAAAAAAAACAAAAAAGCTCACGTGACTCTTTTTTAGCTTTTTCAAAAAGCTCATAAAGGCTCATGAGGCTCATTCAGTGATTTTCAATAAAAAGCTCATTATGACTCATTATCCATAATGAAAGGAAAATTTATTTATTTTTTAAATTCACTGATATCATGAAAAAATCACCACTGATATGGTGGCCTAACTTTTTGATGGAGTTTTCAAAGCAATTTTAACACGGTTGCCAAGGAAACAAATCAGGTGAATGTCAGACCATTGATAGGCCATAAAAGTTGTTGGCCTAGAATACTCAAAATGTAGAAATTAGACCATCGTGTCCAAATGAGCTAGAAACCCTATCAGGTGAATTTCCGACGAGTTATGGCCCATAACAATGGTGGCCCAAAGAACTCAACAACTCAACATGGAAAAGTTAGGCCACTGTGTCAAAATGGACTAGAAAGCATCTTAGGTGCATGCCAGACTATTTCTGGGCCATAAAACTTGATGGTCTAAAACTCACTTGCA